CTAGATGAGCCCTCTATTTATAGGATTAGAGAGGGACTAATAAGCAATAATAAATTACATACAGATCCCTAAGCTATAGCTATTTACAACTAACATATATCATTTTTATTTTATACATATACACACACATACATATCTATATATGTAAGCTAGTTGAATCTAATTTATTTAATGAACATAATAAGCCTATTTATGCACATAGGTTACAATATATTTCTCCAGTTATAACTCTATAATTCTAGGGATTAGCTAATCTGATATACATACATGACAATAGCAATCCCATTCCAACTCATATACTCCAACAATGTATATACACACATCTCTATACGCACATGTATACATATCTATATATATGCATGTGAATTTCATGAGGCATGCATGTTGTCAGGTGCCTCGTGCCTCACAGTTCGCACCTAGGCTTGAGAGGGACTGTTGCGCCTTGCATCTTAAGTAACTTCGGTTTAGGTTGGATATTGTGGTTAGTCATGGAGATGGTAGAACATATGCTTTAGAAAGACTGAATGATTTTTCATTAGCTGGGAATATGGTGCATAAATCAACGATTAATCAGCAGCATTGTGTTTTGATTAGAAGGTAAAATGACACGTGAGTTATCATAGATAACTCTATCTGATCGGTGCATTCGTAGATGGAGAAAATAAGTTATTTATTTGTCATAGAAAATTTAGAGACTGCTGACGATCAAAAAGGGGCCTGGTGCTTGTTTTTATCTGTTCCCATTATCAACATAGAGATAATTTGATACTGCCAATGAATTACTTAATTCTGTACCTAGGCTAGGTATATTTTAATTTCATTTCGTTCATAAAGCCTAGGTTGTACTTGATCTCCAGATGCTTGTTAATATTTTCAAGTTTTGCATCCCAAAATAATCGATAACATCACGGATTCTAATTTAAGGTTGACAGAAAGTTAAGTTGGTAATATATTCATTTCATTTGTGTCTGACAGGCACTCACATGTTACCAGTTGCTTGGTGGAGTTGTCCGGCGGAAAAATATTTGTGCATACCTTGTCACCTTGGTTAGCATCTTTTTTTTGTTTGGTTATGAGACATCTATATTAACTTTAACTAATCTTTAATTTTACGGTGCAATTTACAGACTCCACATGATTTAATAATAGCTTGTGTAAATATCTTTCTTTACCGGACTTCATATATCCTTCATAATAAAAAAACATTCCAGGGCTCTTTCGATTATTGTTGAGACTAATGATCCGAACATGATTACATATAGAATATCCTAGTCTGTCAATTGGTTTACCAACAAAAGCGCGTTTTGCTTTTGGTTGAGCTGAAGGAATATATTGTGGCCCTGCGAATCTTAAATGGTTTCCCCACCTTGCTGATGTGTCTTGTTCTTCTTTCTTGCATGTCACCTAACAAAAAATATCAGGAGATTCCAAAGATTCTTGATTAGGTACTAACAGATTTAGGAATTCTGCTGTATTTCTTATTCATTCTTGACAGAGAAGCATACAATATAAATACACAAGACAAAGAGAAAGAAAAGGAAACTATTCTATGAATCCCTGATTTTATGGGATTGCCTACAATCACTAATATTATGGGATTATAATCGTATCCCATTACACCTACATTAAATACATAATCATTTACATTTTCCCACACTCCCCCTCAAGCTGGTGAGTGGGAGTTTCCTATTCCTAGCTTGGATAAAATTCTCTTGAACATCGGTCTACTTAGTCCTTTGGTGAAAACATCTGCTAGTTGTCCATGAGTAGGCACAAATGGAGTACAGATTAAGCCACTGTCTAGCTTCTCCTTGACAAAATGTCTGTCAATTTCAACATGCTTTGTTCGATCATACTGAACTGGATTGTGAGCTATGTTTATTGCTGACTTATTGTCACAATAGAGCTTCATTGGTCTCTCCCAATTGATCCTTAGATCTTTTAGGATAATTTTTAGCCACAATAATTCACATATACCATGTGCCATCGCCCGAAATTCGGCTTCAGCACATTACATGCTACCACGCTTTTCTTCTTGCTTCTTCGTGTCACAAGATTTCCTCCGATAAAAGTGCAATACCCTGTTATCGATCTACTGTCAACTGATGAGGTAGCATGGTTTGCATCGGTATATGCTTCAAGAGTTACACAATTATTTCTTTCAAACAAGATTTCATTCCCCTGTGCTCCTTTGACATATTGTAAAATCCGGTTTGCGTTTTGTAAATGGGTTTCCTTTGGGTTATGCATGGACTGACTGACCATGCTTATAGCATAAGCTATGTCAGGTTTGGTATGAGACAAATATATAAGTTTCCCCACAAGCCATTGATACATTTTTTTGTTCACAATTGCATCTTCTTCTGCATTTCCCAGTCTATGATTCGGGTCTATAGGAGTACTAGCAGGTTTGCACGCACCTTGACCTGTTTCCATGAGCAAGTCTATAACATACTTTTGTTGGGATATAAAAATTCCCTTTCTTGAATGAGCAACTTCAATTCCAAGGAAATACTTCAGTCTTCCTAATGTCTTGATCTCAAAATCTTTGGCTAGACATAGGCTCAGGGCTTGTTGCTCTTCTTTATCATCTCTTGTTACAATGATATCATCCACATAAACCAGTAGCATTGTTATTTTTCTTGTTTTCGAGTGCTTGATGAACAGAGTGTGATCCCCTTGATTTTGTTTATATCCCAAAATTAACATAGCCCCGGTAAATCTCCTAAACGATGCTCGAGGAGATTGTTTTCCGTATAGTGTCTTTTTTTAACTTACAGATTGTATTGGGTTTTGTTCCTTTTCCATAACCAGGTGGAACATCCATATAGATACCTCATCAAGTTCATGCAAGAATGCATTTTTTTACATCAAATTGATGCAAATCCCAATCAAGATTAGCAACTAGGGATAGAATTACCCTTACTGTATTCATTTTTGCAACAGGTGCGAATGTCTCAAAGTAATCAATGCCAAAAGTCTGCTTCTATCCCTTGGCTACCAGTCTTGCTTTATACCTCTCAATTGACCGATCCACATTATATTTCACTGTATAAACCCATTTACATCCTACTGGCCTTTTTCCTTCCGGCAATTTAACCAACTCCCAAGTTTTTTTTCATTTCAAGTGCTTCCATTTCCACACTCATGGCTTTCTTCCAATTTTTATTAGATAATGCCTCAGATAAATTTGTAAGAATGGAAATGGAGTTGAGGTTGACAAGAAATGCTTTGTAGGTGGGAGAGAATTCTTGGAAAGAGGTGTAGTGTGATAAGGGATACAATGGTCTTTTTGTGCATTCTCTTGTTCCCTTTCTAACGGCAGTAGGCAGAGATTGGTCACTTGTTTGAGATTAGTTACGCTTTGCAAGGGTGTAGAGTTAGAAATTGTTACCTTGTTTGAAGGACCAGTATCAGATTCATGTTCTTCTTTTATCTTGAGTATATATACCAGGTTCTTCCTAAACCGAGTGGATTTCGGATTCTAGAATAGGTTCACGATCTGGTGGAATTGTTTCAGAGTTATGAGTAATAGGAGTACTTGAGGAGTGTTCAGGCTCGGGGATAGGAGTTGAGTGAGATTGGGATGGAATAGGCTCACGAGCTGGTGAAACTATTTCGGGATCATGGATAACAGGAGTATTTGGGGAGTGCTCAGGGATAGAATTGGAAGCTAATATAAATAAGTCAAGTAAAAGATCTTCCAAGCCACCCTTATCTTCCTTTTGATCCTCCCCCTGAAGATAAGGTTGGGTGAAGTAGGGACTGTTTTTGCTAAAAGTTACATCCCTTGACACAAAAACTTTATAGATGGGGGGTGGTAACATTTGTACCCTTTTGGGTTGAGGAATATCCCAAAAAAACACACTTTAGAGCCTGAGGACCAAGTTTGTTTCTGTCTTGGCTATGGACGTGAACAAATAAAATACATCCAAAATTACGGGGTACAAGATTGTTGGAAGTGGACACATTTGGATAAAAGGAAGAAAGTACATCCATAGGACTTTTGAGTCCTAGAAATCGGGTATGGAGTCTATTTTTAAGATTAGTTGTTGTGAGCACTGCTTCTCCCCAAATATGTTTTGGAACGTTATTTGAAATAATAATGCTCTGGTTTGATCTAATAAATGCCCATTTTTCCTCTTTGTCACTTCGTTCTTTTGAGGTGTTCTAACACATAAAGATTCTTGAATTATTCCCTCTTTTTGAAATTCAGAGGTGAGTCTGATTGAAAAAGTCTCGAGCATTATCGGATCTTATTTTTTGAACTTCTACTCCAAATTGATTTTTTACCATCGAAATGAAATTAGGGAGGATAGTGCTAACATCAGACTTATGTTTTAATAAGAACACCCAAGTAACCCGTGTACAATCATCAATGAAAGTCACGAACCATCTTGCATCCGACACATTGGAAATATTAGATGGACCCCAAACATCAGTGTGAATAGGATAAAAAGGAGAGTTGCTTCTTTTATCACTGATAGGAAAAGGGGTATGCTTGTGTTTAGCAAGCTCACATACCTCACAATGAAGGCTTTCAACTTCAATTGTCTTAAAGAAATAAGGAAAAATAATTTTAATAATCTTAAATGAGGGATGACTTAAACGACAATGATGAAGTATGATTTTTTCTTTATTGAAAAGAACAGATTCTGATACGAGAGAGTGAGATAATCTGGTACTTTTTGGCATCTCAAGACAATATAGACCATCATTTTCCTTAGCAAGTCCAATCGTCTTTCCTGAATCCTTTACTTGAAGCAAACAATATTCGTCACAAAATACCACTTGACAAGGTAAATCTCGTGCTAGTTTCTGTACGGAAATCAGATTATTTTGGGACGTGAAGAAGATTTTTTAAAAGAATGGATGAGTTGAGTTGGATATCTCCTATACCGGCTACGGTGGTTTGAGTTCCATCAGCAGTGGCAATTTTTTTTTACTTGGACAAGGTGAGTATGTGGAGAAGTGTTTGGAAGAGTGAGTCATATGGTCAGTTGCTCCCAAATCAATGATCCAGGAGTATTTTAGGGTTGAACCTGAGACATTAAATCCAAATGAAAAAGGATGCTCACCTGAATAGGTTAAAGAACAAGTACCTGGGAATGAGTATCAAGTTTTTCCGGAGTGCTGAAAAATGACCTGACCTTTTCCACTTCCTCTTGATTAAGGTTTTGTTGGCTCTTGTTTGACTTCTTCTGGGGTCGGGTCGATTGCGACATGGGCTTGTCCTTTTTCTCTAGCCGTTGCACTTTTCTGCCCCCACTCTTGGCTTGGAGGTTTGCCATGTAACTTCCAACATTTCTTCTTGGTGTAACGTGCCTTTTTGCAATAAGTGCACCATAACCCATCTCGACTTTGAGTTTTGAGTTGATCACCTTTCCCGGATCCAGATTCGTAGTTGGTTCTATTTTCCCTCCTTATCTTGACATTTTCGGCCACCATTGCCGAGCCATTAATTGGAGGGGTCTCAAGCATTAAGGTTCTCCTGCTCTCCTCACTTCTAACGATAGCCACCACTTCATTAAAGCAAGGTACTTCAGATTTTCCAAGGATTTGAATCCTCACTTGATCAAAGTCAGAGTTTAAACCTACAAGAAAGTCATAAACTCTGTCTTGTTGATGAAGTCCTTGAGTATCGCCGCATCTTCAGAGCAATTAGTCTTGATTTCCCTATGATGATCGAGTTCTTGCCGCAATGATTTTAATTGATTGGCATACTCGTTTACTATTTTGCTTCCTTGTTTTGCTGCTATAGTCTTGACTTTTACTTCATAAACCTGAGCTACATCTTTTGCTTTAGAGTACTTTTGCTGAATTGCATCCCAGATCCCTTTGGCATTAGCCATGAACATCATAGTGTCACTTATTTCAGGAATCATAGAACTCCATAACCACGCCATGATCATGGAATCTTCTTCATCCCATGCTTCAAACTTGGGATCTTCTTGTTTGGTCCTGTTCCGGTGACTGATTTTTCCCTTCCCTTTCAGGATGGTTTGAATTAGTTGGGACCATTTGAGATAGTTCTTTCCATCCAATCGGTATGAAGCATGGATGTGCTATAAATCTCCTGGTTGAGAAACATGGGTTATGGCAGATTTAGATTTAGGTTCTGTCATTCTTTCGGTGTTGGGTTAGGAATTGTTGGCAACGAAGGCCACAAAAAAGGAATCAAAGGAAAGAGGCAATGAAGGCCTATGAAATTTTCAAAGAAGGTTTATGAAGGCTAAAAAGGCTTCCCAAGCTTCGATAGCTCTGATACCATAACATATTTAGGAATTCTGCTGTGTTTCTTACTCATTCTTCACAGAGAAGCATAAAATATAAATACACAAGGCAAAGGGAAAGAAAAGGAAACTATTCTATGAATCCCTGATTTTATGGGATTGCCTACAATCACTAATATTATGGGATTATATACATAATCATTTACATTTTTACATTTTCCCATAGTGCAATTGGAGTAGAAACCAGTTTCATTGTTTCTAATGATTCTAGAATATATACATATGGAATAGAGTCATGGTTCTCGGATTTAAGGATAGCCGTTATCTTGTCATAGTATGTTTCCCTTGATGGACATGGAGAGGTGGGTTTGGATGTAATATCACGAATGTTTATATCCATACAAATATTATTGGGTATGAATACTTAAATATGCTATTATCTTGTGCTAATTAAGTTATCCTTTGAATCAAGATTATAGTCAATTATTGATTGGAACCAAGTTAATGATAATTTGATTACTGAGAATCAGGTAAACGTGTAACTGTACATATACATATGGGTATGCACATGATTGTGAGTGCATAGAGCAGACATATGCATAGTCAATCAACCATGTCATAAGATGCAATATGAGTAAGTAGAATTTGGAGGCCCAAGGATGTCAATAGCAAGAAAGCATGAAAGTCAGAATTGCTAGAATAGCTGATTTAGTTAGTTACCATGCAGAGTTGTTGATCAGTGGATCATAGCCAAATATTTTACGACTAAAAATGACTTTTCAGTCAAGCCAAATATCACCAAAGAGGGGGATTTGCAAGTTGAAAGTTAGGAAAGGCAAGGGTATTTTATCCTAGAATTGAACACCTCAACTCGAAATGTGCATGGAGTATGCACGCCTCAGAGCAGGTGGTTGGGAGCTCTCTTCCTCCCGTTCTTTATGAAATAGCCTTGGAATAATCAATAATATAAGATCAAACCCTAAACATTCTAGAGCCACTCTGGAAACTCAGAATTTAAGCATATTCAGAGTGAATTTGAAGCCATAGCAAGCAATCTTAAGATTTCTTTGCATTCTAAGCTTTGGAAATCAGTATTCACATTTCTTTCCTCGTGCCAAGTCCTTAAACTAGTCATAGAATGTGTTTTCATGAATTTTCCAACTATCGACCGAACAATGAGTGTTCAAAGGCTCTTGATTCTATTCCTCTGAACCTTGAGTGCACTCTTGATCTTGAGTCTTATATATCAATAGCCCTTAGAAAAGGTGTTAGAAAATGCACCATCGAGTATCCTATGTCTAACTCTGTCTTTTTTTAGATTTTTTCTCCATCTTTCTCTTGTTTTATCTCATTAATCATGTGGAAATTCCAATCTATGCATGCACCTTTCTAGTCCCTGAATTGAAGGTAACAGTTTTGTAGGAAGTGAATGCTACTAAGAGGAAGAGGACATGGGTAAAGTAGCTTGTTGTCTTGGAAAGAAGTTGGTTGGATGTAAATGGGTATTCACAGTCAAGTGCAATTTGGATGGAACGCTCTAAAGATACAAGGCAAGAATGGTAGCAAAATGTTTCACTTAGACTTATGGTTTGGAGTACATTGATGCAATTTCTCTGGTGGCAAAACTCAATACTGTAAGGTCCTATTGTCTGATGCAGTAAGCCTAGTTTGGCTGCTACACCAACTAGATGTGAAGAATGATTTCTTGGATAGAAAAGTTAAAGTTGAAGCATTTATGGAAGCTCCTCGAAGCTTTGAGACTGAATTTGGATCCCAAGTTTGCCTATTGAGAAATGCACTTTTATGGGTTGAAGCAATGACCTTGAGCTTAGATCGGAAGATTTAAAAGTTCAGTGAAACAAGGATATTTTCAAGGGTGACTAATCAGACCTTATTCTTTAAAAGGAAGAAAGTGGGAAGATGATTGCATTACTGGTATATGTCAATGGCAGCATCGTCAAAGAAATAGACAACTTGAAGCAAGTCTAGCCAGAATATTTGAGATAAAAAAGGGGATTATTTAAGTATTTCTAGGGAATGGAAGTTGCAAGATCAAAGAAGGGGATCATAGTAAGCCAGCATAAATATATTCTTAACCTGTTTTCTAGTAGGAGCATGACAGTTTGTAAGCTAACTGACATGCCTATAAGACAGTTTGTAAGCTAACTGACATGCCTATAGACCCTAATCAAAGATTGGTTGGGAAGTTAATCTACTTGTCTCATACAAGGCCATATATTGTTCCTGCCAGTTTAATCAACCAAGTTATGCACTCTCCTAAGAAGGTTCATATAAATGCAGCTTCCCATATCCTAAGATATTTCAAGGGATTTGTTGGAAAAGGAATATTCTTTCATACTTCTTCTAGATGGGGAGGTCCTGGTAGAAGATCTATAAGTGGATACCGGTAATTTGTATGGAGAAATCAAGTGATATGGCATAGTAAAAAGCAAAATGTAGTGTCTCACAGCAGTGCTGAAGCAATTGCGGATGGAATATGTGAGGCAATTCAACTGAAATGAGTATTAGAGGAGGTACAACTACCATTAGATGGACTCATGAAATTATTTTGTAACAAGGCTACCATAAGTGTTGCAAATAACCCCATGCATCATGACAGGACTAAAGGAGTATAAATTAATCGTTCTTCATCTAAGAAAAGCTAGAGAATGGAGTGATATGCATGTCATATGTTCCAATCATGCTACAAGTAGCTGATATCCTTACAAAAGGAATGTACAAGCAAGCTTTGATGTTTTCATCAACATGCTGAGTCTTATGAATATATATATATATATATATATATATATATATGCCCCTACATGGGGGTTGTGCTGGTTTAGATATAATTAGATCAAACCAAACGAACCGCTATATTCCCACCTGGGAGATGTATGCTGACTTTTCCTCTCTCTCAAGAGGTAGATAGGTTGTTTTTGAGAAGACCTTCACCTTGTTGGTTTACATATGATTACAGTTGTAAAGTAGATCAACATAAATTAGTAAAATATTCTTTAAATAAATCATTTTATTTTAATTGATCGATAATATATAATTTAATAAAATGTTTTTAAGGTATTTTTTTATCATTTTTAAAATTAATTACAGATAAATTTTATTTTTTATATTATTTTTCTTATATCACTGCATATTTTATTTTATTTATTTATAACTTGTACTAGATCATGTTATTTGTAATTTTATCAGGTTTGCTATTAATTTGTATATCTACTTTTACCAGGAGTAATCCCACTGTGGAACTTAAACAACTGCCTTTACCATAATTTCTTATACATATCTGCGCCACATATATGAAAAGTGTTGATGTGGCAATAAGCAATTGTATAAGCAATCCCTAATGTGGATGCTCAAGAAGAGAAACAATCTCTGACATTTTTTATTCACAATCCCTGATTGAGGTGATGTTTTTCTGAGAAATCTGATTCTGTATGGACATCTGGTATGGAAGTTACGTGAAACCTGCAGATATGTCTTTGGTAGACTATTAAGTAACTTGCAGCCATCATTCTTGGATTTGAGTGTCATTGGCAGACTGTTTGCAATTCTGGATTTTGGCAGTTACCTGAGAAGGTTATCAGAGAGAAGTTGCCACTGGAAGACATTTAGTATATGTAGCTACCTACTTCTCATTCTTGCGAAATCATATTTATCTGATTTCTATATTGTTTAATGCACCGAAGATAACCGTTGCTTAAATTCTTTCCAAATTGGTTATACTTTCATTTAGATGTCAATACTTGAGTAGATATTATCGAGATACAACATCAAAAACTTTGGTGAATTCAAAATTTGAGCTTCTCTATGCTATTTGTTTCCGTGTTCTTTCTTAAACCAATAATCAGAAATGTCATATTAATTTCTGAAAACAGTTAACAGAGACGGATAATTTTTTTACTGCAGGACTCATGGCGTGAACTAGCACATTGTTTTACCAATGAAAGAGTGCTATTCTCATTAAATGCTAGTCACCAGGTATGGTTGAAGAAATGATGTCCTGACAAAGGGCTTATATACTTCCTCGAGCCTAAATAATGGTACCAATGATGCTTACCAACTCCTTGTATCATTTACCTGTATAATTGCAGCGTTCCCTGGCTCAGACCCTTGTTCTTTCAGCTTCTGGCATAAGAGACTCAGTGGAAGCAAATAAGTAAGTATACTCTTATTTTGTTTTTAATATTATCTTGTTCAATCCTCACCCAACGATCCCAAGAGTTTGGTTCTCAGACTAGAAATTTAACCCATGTCTTCTGATATTTGGTTTTAACTTTTGAAAGGTACATAAGGGATCTCACAAGTCATATGACTATTTATCTTAATGATATATGTGGAAAGAAAGATATCAAGAGTCTTTCTCAAAAACCAGATGTTATTCTCGTGGTAAGAGAAAATATCAATAAATGTAGTCTTCTAAAAAACTCTAAAGTCTCCATAAAGAACTTGTTTTTTAAAATTCATGGATGTTTCTGTAGGTTACTTGCTTATTGGAGCGACTTCGAGGGGCTTCCAGTGCTTCTGAACCACGGACACAGAAGGCAGTATATGAGATGGGATTTTCTGTGATGCAGTCAATTCTTAAACTTATTGAGGTTTACAAGGATGAGGTATTAGTTGTATTAATATGTTTATTCTGCTTTTGTAACTGTTTTTCTCTTACTTGATTTTGGAAGGACTGGTTCTCCAAAATCAAGTAATGGACACGGGTGTTACTTATTGCAGCTTCCTTTAAATATTTTATGTCTTTATCATGGACAATTTTTCATTTGCATAAGGTGACATGTGTGCCCAATATTCTTGCGGTTGTCTCAAATTTTACGTGAATATATAATTTTTTTATGACTGGAGTGAGTTAAGGATCAAGGTATCGTTTGTTGGGAGGATTAGTTTCATCAATATATTGCAAGATTAATGTTTTTGAAGACAGTAAGCAACTTTGTAAGGGGTTGGGATGTAAGATAAATTGATGCTGATAATTAGGTATTGATGGCTTCTTAGTAGGATTAGTCTTGTGCTAGTATTTGTTAGAAATGGATGCTAGAACAGGGGACAAAGCCCTATGCAGCCTAGGCTATGCTAGCCATGGTCGCATAGGGCTATTTGGATTGGATAGTGGCCTTTCGTTACACCTTTTACGACTGGGGCAAGGGATTGCACGACCTGACCATCACGTTGGACAGATCACGTAGGGCATCAGGGGCATTCAGTACAATTTTGGCGAGGGTGGATATGTAACTTGGAGGTCCCATACGCAGATTTGCGCAGACCTCTAGGGACCCCTCTTGGCTGATTTCTTTGGCAGTTTTTGGGCTTTTACACCCCCTTTTGGCCCCTCTCCCCCCTTGCTCTAATTTGCCATATATAAGCCATTTTGTTACAAATTTTTGTCTAGTGTTCTTAGAAGAAAAATTATGTGTTCTTCCAAGCTAGAGAGAAGGATAGGAGAGCTTACTCCATTTGGCTTTCTACTAGTTTTGTTGATCAATCTCCATTGTAAGTTGCTTTGTACCCCCTTTCGTATATTAGTACAAGTGATATTTTTTACCTAGTGAGCTTCCACTACCTCATGGTAGTGGAACCACGTTAAATCTCGTGTCTGGTTACTTGCTTTACTACTTTAGCTTGCTTATGGTTATATTGCCCTGGATCTAGCTTGTTGTTGGTATATTATGCTTGGATAGCCATTTACTTGGTTTGTTTTGGAAGATATGAACCCTTGGTATTAACTGCCTGTTGGAAACATATGATGCAAGGATACAGGTATTGGGGTACAGGCCACAGGATACATTGATACTGGATCTAGGGATTCCAAAAAGTTCGGGATACAGGAGTGCATATACAAATTCTAAGAAAAACCAATAAAAGTAGAAAGTTATTTTAATATTCTTACATTTTATATGCAAGATAGAAACTAAAATCCAAGTCTTTTTGTGCTTTTATGACTTCTTGTGTCATCTCAGTTTTTCTTGCTCGAAGTCATATTCTTAATCCGAAAGAAGTTCCCAGGATAGTTCTCCCTCCAAGAGTTGCTCTCTCCCTTGTTTTTGCCTTTTATTTGGAGGCCCAAATAAGAAAACATCAGATGGCTAGGCCACAGTTGCTGAAATGCTCTTTGCTAACTCTCTAGTGTGCCCTTACTAAAGTTTGTCTTTTCCTCGGGTATGTTCTTTCAAAAAGATTTACAAGATCAGCACTGAATGATGTAGTAGTCAGCCAATACATACTCTTACGAAGTTCAGCATCCATTTTTACTTCAAAACAACTTAATTCAACTCAAATCTTTAGACAAACACCACCTATCCACCCAGACACAGATGTCTGCAACTTAAATAGGGCTCAAAATACTGAGATAGAAGCTGATATACTCTAATAACAAGTTTTTATTGATATTGTGACTAGTGAAAAACTCTAATAAATTAGAGTTATCTATGAACAAGTAAAACATTAGTTTATCTTCTTTCATTGATCTGTAGTACTTTTGCAGTTTGGTTTATGTTTCTTCTGCTAAATTTACTTCCTCTCACTAGTAGGGATCGTAGATTTTATGACTTGATGACGAGTAAGGCGTTAATTTGAATACAATAATCGTTTATATCGAGCCTATATTTCATTGCTGTAAACTGTTACATGTGCTGATTCTTGGATATTTCTAGTCTGCAGTTGTCTATCTGTTACTTAAGCTTGTTGTTGACTGGGTGGAGGGGCAAATCATATACCTAGAGCCTCATGAGACTGCATTGGTTATTGACTTCTGTATGCATCTGCTTCAGCTTTACTCTTCCCACAACATTGGCAAGGTATCAACTTTATCATCAGTGCCTCATAATTTAGTCTTGTTGACAAGAGCAATGTAGCATCACATAAACCTGAAATGCTTTTAACAAAAGAATGTCATTGCCAGTGTTGAAAGTAATTATTAGATATAGGAGCCAAAATATTTCCTTAAGACACATAATACTTCATTTGTCTTTTTGTTTTTAACTTTGTATCACTGCCTATATTTCTCCAGATATCTGTAAGCGTTTCAAGCAGTTTACTGAGTGAAGCAAATGATGAAAAATACAAGGATTTACGTGCTCTACTGCAGCTGCTTCAAAAACTATGCACAAAAGATATGGTACATTATTCTACATTGCCTGGCCAAGCTATTTTCTGATGGATAAGATTTTACATGAACATTCAAAGAACATTGAAATTTTCAGGTTGATGTTTCATCAGCTACTAGTGAAGATCAGCAAACAAGCATTTCTCAGGTATATGGCTATATTCACATTCTATATATATTGTATGTATGAAGTTTCCCAATTTGGGAGGACATTTTGCCTGTTGTGCTGTATTTTAGAACATTATATCTTATGCTTATATGCATGCTTACAGTAGTGCCACTGTTTCCCAAATGTTATTAAATGTAAATACCCTCTTATCATGGTATTATTACAATTATTGATGTAACTGTCACATCGAGAAAGAAATACAGACTTGTTTCAAGTTGATTCAGGTTACCATATGACTCACAATTAGAGACAGGTCATGATTCTTTTGTCTCTTGTGCCCGAATCAAGACTTTGTGATATGGAGCTGGAAGTAAAGCAGTGATAGATTGACTAATTTGACAGCAGCAGTAGGTTGCAACGAAGGTCCTTTTTTGGTAGTTGATTACTTTTCTTAGTGCTAAGTCAGCTTGATTTTCTTGTTATGGATGAAAGAACTTGCATGAATACTAAGAGATTATGTACAGGAAATTTCTTGATTAGATTTCTTAGATTATTTACTTAAATAGTTGCAGATGAGGGAGACCTTTTGTTCATATAGGTTATATAGGAGTGTTTATATCCTAAAGAGCAATGTAATACGGGCACCTCTTAAGCTACGTGCATTCTAGTTACAAGGAGCTTCTAAGTTATTGTACAAAATATTGAAGAACCCATCTAAATATCAGTAGTGTTTCACCTTAGATCAATGGTCCCCGTTTCCATTGAATGTCAATTATGTCTTTCCATGACAGGAAAGACCCGTTTCCCTTGAATGTGGCGTAAAGACAAAAGTAAGTCACATGTCAATGTTATCGAGTTTCACCTTAGATCGATGGTCCCTGTATACGACTCTTTTGAGTTCCGCTACAACACCCTAAAATGATCCTAGTGCATACTCGTTCTCTAGATGAGTTTCACCCAAAAAGCCAATGGTCCCCGTATACAACTCTATGGGCACTGCCGCAAGACCCCCAATGCTCCCCGTATATGACTCCATGAGTACCACCACAAGACCCTAACATTAACTCGGTTCATGCTCATTTAGGTTCAAATGTGAGAACATTAAAACTTCTCACTTACCAACAACAAGTGACCCTTACACACATGGATTCAAAGTGACACAATCACCATTTTCGTGATTTAAAACTTAGAAGATTAAATCAATCCCAATGACATGTATTTTTAAGTAATTATGCAAACATATGGATAAATTGTCCAAGTAACAATGAACAATCAAAGTTGGGTAAAATCCCAAATAATGGTGCAACATATGCAATTTAATATTCAAATGTAATCATCGAACAATCAAAGTTGGTAAACTCCCAAAACTCAATTAAACAATGTTCAATTAATCAAAGTCAACAACTTATAAGACAAGTTTCAATACTAAGAAACGAGTTAGGGTTGAACGTCAAAGGTTTTCATATGTTTCCTATTGCTTCACAAAACACAATAGCACATCTATTTATACAAGTGATGGAGAATCCTTTCCATATCTTTCTGAAATAACTATGGAAAGGATAGGAACAATCTTTTAAATTAAAGAATACTTGAAATTAGGAATAACTCCCTAATTTACTTGATCCACAAGATCTTTCATATGATTAAGGAAATCTCCAGAGAATCTTCACTCCTCCCGCAAGTTAGGTATGGAGGTCGATCATATCCAACTTGTTTATCATCTTCGAGAACACAGATGGTACGAATCATAAACTATTTTGAAAAACATAAGACTTCTCCAATAGCTCTAGAACGTGAGAGTGCCTTCCTCGTAGAACACTTGTCAGGTGGTGCAGGAACCAGCAGTTGCCAACTGGTAGTCTATTAGACACATGGTTGGCCCAGCCTCAGTCCATATGGATGACCCGAGACAATGGGCACCCTAATTATAGGTAATGTAATTGTGTAAAAAAATAAAATAGAAGTTATAAATATAAAAAACTCTGTAGATGCCAGTCTTATTTATATTTCCTACAATTACTCATCATGATACCTCATGAGAAATACTCATTTTCCCGCTCACCTTGATCTAAATTAGGCGACTGCAAAGTAATGCCTACATCCAACTCAACTTGGTTATTGGGCTGTTCAGTTGAACTGTTAGCATGTATTTCCGCTTCATTAAATAACATCCCAGTGTCATTATCCCGTACGTCTTTTACTGGACACCTGTGATTTTCATCATACTAAAAACAAAACCACTAACTTTCTTGTCTGCGTGCAGGTTATATATGTTGGGGTTCACATTGTTAGCCCTCTGATTACAATAGATATGCTGAAGTATCCTAAGCTTTGTTATGATGTAAGCTTGCTACTTTGTAAATGGATAAGTAGCTTGATTCTTATTTCAAGGTCTAACACCTTTCTTATATCCTTTTTTGGAATAGCACTTTGCTCTGTTGTCGCATATGCTGGAGGTGTATCCCGAAATGATTCCCAAACTAAACCATGAAGCCTTCGGTCATATTTCAGGAACTCTTGATTTCGGTCTCCATCACCAGGTAAATAATGTTCATTTAAATCGATGAAAACTATGCACATTTAACCTTAAGGGCCAGCAAATAAAGGCTAGGCTTGGGGCTCCTCTCATAGGTCGCCAGCTCGAGTCTCCTCAAGGCCACTAGGAATTTTCCTGGTGGTTATCTGCGAGCCCCATAGGATTAGTTGAGGTGCGCGCAAGATGGCCTAGACACCCATGGTTACCAAAAAAACTGTGCATAGTTGTTCATTTGCAAGTGATATTTATGCTGCGAATGAACTAAGGGGAGGTTCTGAATGATAGACTTGAGACTTATTTTATGGTGCCTTTTTGGCTGATATCCTGTAGGATGAAGAAATTGTTGGCATGTGCCTCAGTTCTCTGAGAGCTCTTGCATTCTACCACTACAAGGAAAGAGCTGGTGGTAGAGATGGGTTAGGTCCACATGCTACAAGCTATAAGGATGCTAATGGAAATTTTCAAGATGGTATTCTTAGTAGATTTTTGCGATCGCTGCTGCAACTAATCCTCTTTGAGGATTACAGGTAAGAAGCAACATTGTGGTGTCAATTTATCGTATTAAATATTTACAACATAGCATGTTCTGAAGAGCAGAGGTAAAGCTAACAGCATCAACCATGCATCCCTGATTTTTGGTGATTTCTGTAGAAACAAGACCTTTGAGGGCTTTCCTTCTCATACTAATGATAAAGTCTTAATTTTTCATTGTTGCAGCACGGATCTTGTAGGAGCTGCAGCTGATGCTCTTTTTCCATTAATCCTCTGTGACCATGGTCTTTACCAGGTATCTATCTACCATTTGTAATTTCAAAGTAAACTTACCTTCTTTGTTTTAACCATGGGTGTTCGGGTCAGCTTGCACGCACCTCGACTAATCCCATGGGACCTTGAAGATAACAGCCAGGAAAATCCCCAATGGCACTGAGGTGACTCAAACTGGCGACCTATGGGGAGGAGCACCAAGGCCTAGCATTTATTTGCCAATTAAGCGGGCCCTCAAGGTTACTTTTTAGGAGCCACGTCCATTGGCCGGAAGGCCTAAAGTTTGTCTGGTCCATGTAGATGTGGCACTTTGCATGGACCTGTTGGGACTAGTTAAATTAAAGGTGTTGAATACCATAATCATCTTAAAAATGGTAAAAGAACACTTGTCATCATTTTGGATTTGTCTAAAAGTGAAGAAACTAGGAACGACATGAATTGGCTCTAACTTCTTGGTGATAATTCATACAGAGATTAGGTAATGAATTGGTCGAAAGGCAACCAAATTCAATATTCAAAGCAAGGATGGCTAGCGCATTGCACTCACTAACAACCTCAGACGATCTCTCTCCATCAGCTGACCGCTCAAACATGAGAAAATTCAGAAAGAATCTAAACCGATTCCTGGTTGATGTTCGTGGCTTTCTTCGAACAATTTGATGATAGCTCATAGGGAATGAAGTTTTAACTCCCCATAGTTCTCTCCCCACCAATGGCAGTCAACCCAAGTCCTTTCAGACTATAGGTTCTCGTGGGAAATGCCAGAAAAACGCATACCAGATGGATCGTGCTCAAATTTCACATTTTTTAGTTGGCTTTTCTTATGTACAGCCTACAAGTGCCATTTTGCCTAATAGTATCGAGTTGTTACAACTTTTAGGTTGTGAGCTTAAGCTTCTTTTGAGATGTTAGTGTGCGAGTTTGTTGATCGTTTAAAAGAACAAAACGAAGTCATCAAATGTGGGATTGAAAAAGTTTTGAAGGCAAGTTAGAAGTGTTCATTAGACATTTATTTTAGGGTATTAGTTGCAAGCAAAATGAATTTGCTTCCCACATCTTTGGTTGTATTTTTGTTTTGGTGATTGAAATATTGAAAACTAGAAATGGAACTCAAATGATAATATCAAGTCTTTAGTTTTAAATAAATGATTGTTGTCACTGAAACCAAGTACAATTAAGGGAATATTGATATGGTGCATATTTTGTTGTTTTTTGGTGCTTAAAGATTTGATGACAAATTTGGAACCATTTTTTTTAAGTATATAATATTTATGTACGGTAAATAGAACAAATAAACTCACACGCCCTCCTCACATTTTCGTTACAGAAGTTTGCAAACTTGGGTCGCGTTTAGACCAATGTTTACTAGTAATTGTTTTACTACATTATTAGTAATTTAATTATAAATTTGTAGTAAATGCTAATATGCAGTGAAGTGCAATTAGTAATTGAAAATCGTATAATACGGTATAAAACAAGCCCATGTCGCAAACTGTAACACAAAATGGGTTATGCGGTTTGTGCGATATTCCAAGGTGTTATGGGACTCTTATGTAACAAATTGAATGATTTGAAGAAATTTTATTGAACAATGATACTTGGGCTTAAAAACATAACATTCAATATGTAACCATAAGAGTGGTGCCTAATTGGTTTGAACTTGGCTCCAAAGATCAAAAGTACCAGGAGACCTCACGTTCAAATCCAAGAAGAAATTAAAAATCCCCTTATGGCCACGAAGGTTCAAATGCGGTGACTCCGGACTATTTGCAAAGCAGATGGTCACCCTAGGATTAGTCAGCTCACATAGGGGATTGGATATCCAGGTTAATAAAAAGAAAACATTCAATATGTTCTATTTGGAAGGAGATATGGAAGCAATAAGATATATGTTGATCTAACATCTATCTACTTAAAAAAAATATCATCGTAACCCATGCATAAACAATCTCATAACATTTTCGTTATGAATTTCGAGAGACCGTTTAACTCTTTACCAAATGGGTTGAAACCCTTAAAAGATTCATTACCAAATACCACTACGACCAAAAGCTTACTAAATAAATTTCATAAAAACGCAACGTACTTGGTATCATATCTAGTTCTAATAGATGTTTTTAAGTTGTTGATTGAATCAGTCAACCATTCAGCTTCGAGGTTCCGAATTCAATTACGACAACCCGATTTTGTGGATATTCACAAACCGTCATAGCTCTCAAATCGAGCTCGAGCCTACATTTAAGTAGACTCATCAAACTACAGAATTGAGTTTGCAACCCTAACTTGGAATTAAAAGAGTAACAAGAAAAGGAAGTTTTCAACATAATGAGACGATAGAACTACTTGTAACAATCAATTAGATGGTAATTAAAACCCACACGAACCGCTGCGCGGTCTTTCTTGCTTACGACTTACTTGTGAAGGACACTCTTCTTGGGAATCCTCGATTTCTTCAGCTCACGTTGCTGCGAGAAAAAGATTACAATAAGCAATTTTAAAAGACGATGCCAGAAATCAAAACAGAAAAATTACCTTTTGCTTTTCTAAGGCCTCGAAATCTGTTCTCTCTTTCCACTTGCTCTTACGCAGTTTTATTGGGCGATTTCCGACGTATTTTCCTAACCATGAAACAAACCAACAACGACATGCCAAAGAAAAAGTCAAGAAACCCGAGCAGAATGCAGAACATCAAATATTTCAGAATTAAGTAGACAAAGGGATGAAAAAAGTTACCATTCATTTCTTTAAGAGCAGCAGCCAGATCAGTGGGGTTCGCAAAACTCACGAATCCGTATCCCCTGGTCTTCCCGGTCCGCTTGTCTCTGACCACCTGATACCGTCACATGAAACACATTATAAACATAGACTTCTGACCACAAATAGAATAAACAGCAAATCCCTTGGGGTCTGGGGTTAGGATCTATACAGACCCCGCCTCCCCATAGATAGAGGGATTGTTTCCGTGAAAACCCCAGTTTGTAAAACAAAATTACAAGAAACAAGTGAGAGGGCGTGCAAACAAGCAACAGATACAGTAAAAAGGAAAATTCAACAGAGACGATGTGAGGAAATAGGTAAAACACAGAGCGAAATATTGGCAAGTAGCAAACAGGTCATACAAGTAGACACAATAGTAAGAAATGTTCGCACTCAACCACTAATGCCAAGGATACGATTATACACCTGTTCGTGTGATCAGGCTTTATTTTTTTTACTTATTGCCTGCGCTCCTGGGTAACTAACAAGTCGCTACTTCCAAAATTCTACTAAAACTTACGCATGATCCTTGCTTTCGGAGAGAGATTCCATTTGCAAATAAATAGTCTACGACTATCAATCTCCACAGTAGATCTTAATAACATATTACGGCTGCAAATGAGCAAATCCAACACTCTACTTGTTCAAGGAAGGGCAAAATATTTGTAATCTAGAAGTTCTTTGTCGTATCAAGCAAAGACAAACACCAAATCAACCAAGTTATATTCACACGACGAGTAAAACATTATTATGTTAGTTTTGCAATGACGAGGTATGTTGTATTTGTAAGTCTTTTTATTTTCCTGCTGCCCAATAGCAACATGCTAGATGTATGTATGTGTATCTATATGTACACATATAAGTAAATAAACATATAAAGCACACTCTTCATGATCTACTCATTGTCTCAGCATGAAAATTGGACTATGCTCCCCATCAAAATATGAAATCACCACAGGGTAATTGGCCCAACGGCACCGGAAGAGCCCAGCGGCACCGGTCTCAAAGGTTCAAATCTCACCAAATGTGAGTAGTGTGTGTAAGTTTTGAGGTACATAATTATATATACTTCAAAAATAAACGATATGAAAATTTATTTTATTCATTTAGTGTCTAGGATCAAAAGTCCTAACTTGACAGTAGGCTATGCAGATTTGTCAAGTGACATTATCAAGCAATATCATCAGTAGGAGGGGGCAATAAGATCCAAACCAAATGCAAACAAAGAGCATACTGTGAGAGACATCCCTCCTGAATTTCATCCTTTGCATGTTTTTGACTGAGAAAGATATAATACCACTTTAAAAATGTAGGAAAAGAAGACAAAGTATAGCCTGCAAGAGTGCAAGTAATTAGCAAATATTTGAACTCTCATTGACACTTCCCAATTGACTTTTGTAAGAACAAGTGCGCGTTGACCTATTTTTACAGAAATGTACAGAATATCACAATATTTCAACTACAAATAATAGTACCTTTACTTTTTAGATAGTAGCAAAACTATTGCTTGGGACCACCTAATGTCCATATTCCAAAGAAGAAGATAACTTAATCCAGTACAACTTCAATAATTTGACTACAACAGCCTTTGCAGATATCATATTATCCCCTTGAGCAGTAAGAAGAAAACAGAAGGGTATAAGCTAGATACATTCGAATATAATAATCAAGGTGAAAGAGATTCAGACCAACATCTTTTGAACTAATAATACATAGCCAAATGTGATAGGTGACTGACAACCATGTAAGAGAATCCTACCTTACATAATGGAAATATGGCAGTGCTCCATGACTTCAAACAAACATCTGAAGAGGACATGCAAATAGCTCATGTATACCAAATAACAACTTATCATATTGTCTAAAGTTAAACAAAGAGACTTACCCTGGCCATGTTAAAGGAAGGAAATCGTGAAAATGCTTTCGATAGAACATCATCATTCACCTCGTTCCCAAGATCACCACAAAATAGACGAAAATCATCTGCAACACATTATGATCATCAAAAACAGCCTTACTAGAGCCACAAAGGGATGACAGCAAATCTATGAATACAATCCATACTTCCAATATGCAAAAGACCATAAGCTTGATGATAATTATTTATTTAATTACTGTAGTACTATTAACCAAATGCCATTTATTATGACTTGTCTAGTACCTTTTGTGTAACAGACTTAATTTTGAAGCTATAATACCATTGGGATTTTCTAATAAGCATCAAAATAAGTTCTATTTGACAAATAGATTGTCACACCTTGTTCCTCGACCATAATTTGTAAACGTGGTAGTGCATTTATGAAGAAAAAAATTCACACAGTAGTTCCAATACCTCCTCCCCCTACCACCTCCCACACCCACTCCCAAAAACCTACTACACAGCCAGCACCAGAACTACAGCATTAAACTTATGGCCAAGAACATACCTTGGTGGCCTCCTATTCTTGCTAAGCTCATAACATCATTATATCCTCCATTGTCAAGTTTATGAACTTTATACTATTATGTTCATTCGGCAGCAAGTCCACAATGTTAAGAACCAATACTTATCATTTAGTACACCCCCCAATCAAGCATCCTTCTTTTTTCTTAGGTCATTCCACATTGGATGTCAAGTTTTAATAGATGTGAACACTTCGGTCTCAAATTTCTAGCATAGTACTAGTAACAGTGATATACATTTGAAAACCATAACAAAGGTGAAAACTGAAATAGATATGATAAGACATCTATAGATAAGCACATTTATATTGAAACCCCTAAAATACAACACAAAAAGAGCATCTAAGGTGTAATGGTCAGAGTACCATTTGTTGCAATAGCAGATTGCTCTGCACAACGAACTGAGACAGTATCAGAGCATCCAAGATGGATCTACCACTGACCCAGATTTTGAAATTACTGAATGGTTGCAAGATAATGTACCTTGTTTTGTTTGGTTTTCACTTATGAATTTTTTTAAAAATGATAAATGATTATTCAAAAGATGTGTTATAGTTGTCAGTTTAAAATAGAGGTGACAAGATAAGTGATTATACTTTCTGGCCACTCGGCCAAAGTAGGATCCTCCCAAGCTTGACCTGCTGCTTTGCGAGGTACGGCTTTCTTTTTCGTTTCTGCTTTGTGCTCTGTTTCACTGCTTGCAAGTGCAGCCTTTACACTTTTCAGAGCTTCAGGTGTAATTGTCTGGGCATCCCTTTGGAATAGTTGCTGTGCCTGCTAACAAACAACACATCCTCGCTCATCATAATGTACCAATAAGTTGCTGTCAGCTACCATACAAAATTATCCAGGTGCATAGTGCATAGCAGTTTTCAATGTCGTGCCCTGTCGCTTAAGACGGCAATCAAGAACCTGGTGCATGCCATAAGCCCTAGATACAAAGCTTTAGAGCATTTGGCATAGCACAAACAGCACATGTAACCAATAGAGTACACCAACAAGATGATTATAAAACAAAAACCAATAAGATTAGCTTCTTTTCGCTTCTATCAACAATGGGTTATACATCCAATGTTCTCTTATACTATATCCTCTTGGTGCCTCTTACAGTTAGTGCCCACACAGTCACCCCTACGTTGAGCTCAGCTATGAGAAAGTAAGGCACTTTGTTGCTTCGATTTGGTGTTAACCATGAACACAATGCAGTAAGTTGATGTTCCCTCCAATGATTAGATTTTGATTCTTTTGGACGGATTAATAAAGCCTAAGAAGTTGACATATATGGATCTGTTGCGAGCTTAACATACCAACTCTTTTCTAATTTTTGACTTTCCTCTTTATGAAGGTGGTGAACCCACAAAAAGAAATAGATCGTCACAGAACCAAAAAAAAAAGTTTTCATACTCTAATAAAATTCAACAGAAAAGAAGCAGCAGGATAATAATCTTCTAATTGTCACTCTAAAAGGGTAAATATTATGACTGAATATAATTTACTTTCATTCTTCCAACATTTGAACTTACTTGACTTTGGAAAATGTTTCATGATGGGAAGGCGTCATTATCATGGCTCACTTATACGTTGGCACGATATTGTGTAATTGTGCTATGACTACCATGCTGGCGTATTGTCCTGGGGTCCGGAAAAGAGATCCACACCCTTGAATTAACACATAGCTAAATAAACATATGTGACTATTGACATGACGTCTAAATAACCGTAAAGACAATAATACATGAACTTGTTGGCCAATACCAATATTTCTAACATCAAGTAATGATTATTTAAAGGAACAAAAATAAACTAGGATCGACAACTTACTAAAAAAGAAAATGTTAGCATACTTCACACAAACCACAATGCAAAGTGTTCAATTTTTTTGTTTTTGCAACAAAGTGATACATGAAAAGCATAGCTTCATAAGTTCTGGTCGCTGATTATTTATATCAACCTTCCATAACACAGATTTCTTTAATCCTCCGCCATGTGGCCATCTACTTCAACAACTGTTGGTTGAATATGATTTCCTGTTTTCTGCTTCGGCTGTAACTTTCAGTTGATTGGTCAAAAAACTACCTTTAACCTAACTCAACAACTTGATTTCCGAGAATAAAGGTACGATTGAACTGTAAACAAGTTTCTGCCAGTTCCTATTCGTATCACCGCTACAATAAGAGCAGATATTATATAAGCAAATGTATATAACAACACTGATACATATCATTTAGACATGAACATTTATGATCTTCCATTAAGAAAGCTTCACCAATGAGAGGCTATAAAAATGTTCAAGTTCATCACTGAAACATAATATATTCATAAATTAAACTTCATACATATACAAATAGCGATAAAAACTCTCTAAATTGACTCTGAAAGCAAATAAAAAGACAGAATCAATAATGCAGATTAACGGGTGGTTGATGATGAATTACCTGCTGGTATTGAGGCAGGTACACACCTGGGACGGAAGCGGGGGTAGGATAAACGGAAGGAACAACAACTGGCACATTGACAGGAGGAGCAGGGAATGAAACCGGCGCCTCCGCAGTCGGTGGTCGTGCTGGTGTAGCAGACGGAAATGTCGTGGGGATTGGTTGCTGAAGGTGGAAGGGCATGGGAAAGTAAGAAGGAGGGTTGGAGTAGGTGAATTGAGATGAAGATACCGTTGATGATGATGATGATTGATTTGTATTCATCGCCGACATCCGGCGTTATAATTCTCCGGAATTCCGTTCACCGGCAGATTTCCACCGTAGAAATTCAAGGACCTTGTATTTTGTTTCTCAACCAATACCAAGAAGCATCCAGAAGATGAAAAGATGATCACCGCCGGAAGATGGTGCCACGTCATATCCTTTTAAAGGTTCCTTCCTTACAGAATACGACGCCGTAGCGCTGCTTTCTTAGTTTTTGAAAGGCATAATTGTAATACATCTTCATCATCGGTGTCACACATAACCCGTCATATGCCCTGCCGTGTAAACAAATCGAACGTTCAGCAAATTGTTTGTAAATTGTTTGGATGAAAGTTTGTTTATTTAATAAATGAACGAACATAAACAAGAATCTCGTTCGTTTATTTATGTTCGTGTTCATTCATATTCGTTCGTTTATATATTAAATTTAATATATAATTTTTTATTTATTTAGTTTGAAAAAATTCAAATAATAGTTATTTAAGTTTTAACCTTCTAGAATTTATTTAAATTTTATCATCATTTTATCTTATTTAAAATTTTTACTTTTTCACTTTTCAAATAATGATGGTTGGTCAATGGTGATTGTTTTATATATGTTTAAACTATGGATAATTGGTGTGTGATATTTAATTGAATGACAAGTAACGATGTCCGTTTATTTATTTTCGTTTAACCCGTTCGTTCAACATGTTAACGAACGGACACGAACAGAAAGATTTCCGTTCGTTTACTATTCGACCGCTACTTCGATACGTTAAAAATGAGGCAGAACTTTGCATGGATTCATGTCTTCCATGGATTAATTTCAATGGTCCATAAAAAACACCAACCAATTTCCAAACCACCATCTTTCTCTGTCTCTCTGCCATATCCAACAAATCACCCATGCTCTTCCCGACGTACGGCGGAGCAATATGGAAGACACCATACCCAAACCACCGGCTTCCTCCACTTCCGCCACCACCCTCCAGCCCTCTCCTTCCCACCTCCTTCAAATCAACCTCATCTCCGCCGAAGACCTCCCCCGTATCTCCAAATCCATGAAAACCTACGCCGTCGCCTGGTTGAACCCTAACCGGAAACTCACCACCCAAGTCGATCCTAAAGGCCATGTCAATCCTTATTGGAATGAAAAACTATCCTTCCGACTCGACGAGGAGCAACTCTATTCGGAAAACTCGTTTCTCACTGTCGAGATTTACACGGTGTCGTGGTTCCGGGATATATTAGCTGGAATCGTGAAAATTCCGTTGATCGATTTGATCTCGCCGAGTATGGAGAGAAACCGTTTTGTAACCCTTCAGGTTCGCCGCCCCACCGGTGAACCTCATGGGATACTTAACATGGGGTTCTGTTTGGGCGAATCAACGGATAAGAACCTTCCATCGCGTGAAAATGGCGGAGAGAATGAAGAAGAGGAGGATGACGAAGAGGCTAAAGAAAGAAAGATCCAAATCCAAGAGAAGATACAACTATGGCGGTCTCGTACTGTGGAGGACCTCGATGACGATGACGATGACGATGACGAAGACGATGGTTCGATGGTGAATCCCGCAGGTTCGATTGTGTATGGTTCGGAGGTTTGTTCAGACGTTGGACCATCGGCGTCGGTTGTGGCGGCAGAGCTGGCGAAAGAACATCGACGGCCGGTGATGCAGCGACCAGTGCCGTCGATGTCGGTGGCAATGCCGCCACGGGAAGAAAATCGTTCAAATGTAGACGGTGATGACTTAGCGAGTTCGATATTAGAGGAGTTGACGATGGAAGAAGCGGTGGCGAGAGGGTGGATGGATGGATTTCCGTCGAAAAGAAGGGAGGTAACTCGCCGGAAGCATAATCGGCGGCATTCCGACGGTGATGGGGCTTTTACGTGTTTTGGGACAGTGTACGGTATTGAGGTCAAAATTGTATGTGGAAATAGGCAAATTAATGATAGCCCTAGAAAGGGTCATAACAAGAATCGCCGGACGTCCGCCGACGCCAAACCCCATGCAAAGCCTTGACCATTTTTGTTGTTGACTTCCTTTATGTTTTTACTTTGACTTTTTTAATGATGACTTTATATTTTCTTTAATTTTTAATAAAACTTAAGGGGTGTAAAATGTAAATATTCATATACATGCACCAGCATATTCGGCATTTATTCAGTTAGGGCACCTTCAGTGTTGGGTAACCATGGGTTTTGTACACATTTCTTGCAAATTCTCGAACGACCAACAATGACATGGAGTCGTTACAGGTGAACCGTCATGGCCACCTGGAGTCGGTGAACCTTAATGACTTTAAAATAAAAAATAAGAGTGAGCAGGCATCCAAGCGCTGAATTTAATTAACTTTCAATATCAATGTCACGGGCAAAAAGACCGGTTGTTCTTCAATTATAATGTGCATACTCCAAAAAAAACTATGCAACTAGCTCACAAGACCAACTCTTTTGAACGCTACAAGTCTAACCATCGTTGGTCGCAAAAGGTTATTGCAACACCCGAATATGGGACTCACAACATATAATATCAATGATTTACACTATATATCAAAAAACCATCTCAGTTAACTTTCTGTCTAACCAAAAAGTGCCAACCCTTTTCACTTATTGAGCCCATTCCAGCTAATTTCCTGCCCACATTCACCACAAATGGTGCTGCAACCTGATTTCACACCTTGACTCCTTAGGGTTAGCATATGGGCCAAGTTTGTGCATTTTCGGAGAACAAAACGGTTCCTGGAACACACCCTGGTGACTGCAGGTGGTTTCTTGGTTGTAAGTTGAGGTTGAACCGGTGGTTTGACCTCTGAGATTCCGTTCATGGTTGGTTTTAGGATGGTTGTGAATCCATCAACTGGGTTCCTCTGAACTTCTTCCCATTCTAGAGTTCTACGGTAAACTTCCCAAGCCATGTCTTGTTCTTCTTTTGATAGCTTTTCATCTTCGTTCTCTTGTAGAAGACTCTCGTGTTCATGATAATTTGCAATCCATCTGAATGCATAAAGAAACTCGAGAGCATTTAGATTCATTCAAGGTTTTTTCGTTTTCGTATGATGAAAACACAGGGCATGGATCTCATGTCCCCTCGTCCACCAATCACATGAAGACATATCATTATTTTATTTAATATAAATTTATGTGGTTCGTCTTATTCTCTCTTCAATAAAGTGATGTGTCCTCATGTGATTGGCGGGATAGAGAGGGGACTTGGGATATGGGAACAGGGATATACTACTCCCTTGTTCTGATGAAAATTTAACTATCAATCAAATGTCATAAATACCCTTGAATAACGAAAGAGTAATGTTATATCCTCTTATCTGACACTTGGCAAAAATTCATACACCTATAAAAGTCGGTATCATGTACTTTTTTGTATGTGTCTATTAAGGATATAGCTTTACTCGAATTGAGAAACCTTGTGTACCCAAATCAATATTATCAATTCTTTATGATGAAGACAATGGGCAAACAAGCATATATCAACTAAAACAAACAAAAAAAAAGAAAACTGCAAAAGGTGATGTTTTTCAATTTTCAAGGATGAAGCATTAAAAGACTACGAAGAACTCTAACATCATATTTAGCAACAAAAAAAAATGTAGACTGAAATTTGAGGCGGGATAACTTTCAAAATGATTGCATCTTGAAAACTATGAACAGTAGCTTTGACCATAAATCAGAAATTTCAGCAAAGTACAATTTCAGAATATTCTTGACGTTCAAAGAAACATAAAGCAAAAGATAAGATAGGTGAAAATATATTCTGATAGGAAAATACTCTTTCTTATCATGGTGATCACAAAGACACGATTTGTGTTGGTTTCGTGCAGCAAATCAAAGAATATATGATATGCACCTCCAAGGACAATTTTCGTGAGCATGGATGGACAAGTAATCGTCACATTCAATATCATAAAACAAAACCAAACTAACATAGTATATACCACACAGAGGTAGGGTCTGGGTAGGGTAGGGGTAGGATGTAGGCAGACCTTACCTCTACCTCAGGGGGTAGAGAGGGGTGTTTCCTTGAAGACACTGGCCTGCAAAACAAAAGTTACTCCATCCCGTCCAAAACAATGTCCACTTTCAAAAGTAGGTGTCTGCTTTCCAATTCTACCCTTAATTATAAAATGGAGAAACTTATTACTCCCTCTATTATTAAAGGGTAAAATTGTCATTTAGTTAATAAAAAGTGCAATAATTACAAGTTCCTAAAACGGTGTGCCTTTTTCATTGTAGACATTTATTTTGGGGCAGAGAGAGTAACAGAAAACAAGCGCAATAAGTAGCAGAGAAGTGTGTGCAACCAAAGGGCCTCTGGCTTCGCAGTATCCAGGCCTTTTGCCTCCTAGCAGCTCATGGGTTCAAACCTCACACCAAAGGTGAGGTGGGTGTGTGAGTTTACTGTTGCATTGGCCGTAAACAAGCAACAGGCACAATGCAATGAAACAAACTACTAAAGCAGAAATAAAAGTAAAGGGTTTACTTCTTTTTTCCATTAAGCCCTGTATGGGTTAAGTTTTATGTCTGGATAAATTCGTCTGTCTAATGCACGGGAGACCAATGGGTTTGAGGGAGGCAAAGAAAGACGATTTGAGTATTTCAGGGGCATTTCTACGTATAACTTGTTTGATATGACTTAAAGGGGACAAGTGAGAGATCCTGAGTTATTACATAGTCATTTTGGCTTAATGAATAAGTTGTAAAGAAACATTCCTGTATGGCTGAGCAAATAAGCCGCCGAGATCATTAAGCTCATTAAACATCCCCCAATAGAAGCAGAAAAACCTAAAGCAGAAAAAAAACCACATCATATTCAATATCAAATGAAGATTAAATAATTTACCTTGGATGATGTTTACTGAGTAATACTTCCATGAACTTGTCAGAAGAAATAGTTGCATGAGGAAGAGGACTTTTTGGTTTTGAAGAATTTCCGACTTCACCGGTACTTTGTGTAGCTGCTACATTGCTAACCACTTGGTCCAGTTTAGAAGAATTATTTAGGTTTTCTTCATCGCCGAAGGCAAAGAGATGCAACATCTCTTCTTTAGATATTGTCCTATGGACTTGCTGTCTATCAACGACCCTTGCCGAAAGACTTTCTTTAGTAACCTGTTCAAGTCATTTTATTCAGTACACACAGTGCTTCAATTCGTAAGTGAAATATGGTTATTCAAGGAAATAACATATTGACAAAAAAAAATTAAAGGCATGACATTCTGATAGATTTAAGAATGCCTCAAAATCCGTCAGAAGGTCATCCCTGTAAAAAAAATATGTCCAACCAGGTGAAATATTTACCTGACGCTTATAAATCTTTTCCTCCATCGTTCCATGTGCCATTAGACGGTATGCAAACACAGGTTTTGTTTGTCCATATCTGCAAATTTCAAAGGCAGTTATTGTTTTTATATGTTCATGTATGATGTTCTAATTTAAACAGTTGATTTTCAGTCATGATACCTCCAAGCACGATAGATAGCCTGAAGATCGTATGTTGGGTTCCAAGAGCCATCAACAATAATCACACGGTTAGCGGCATAAAGGTTAATACCCAGAGATCCAGCTCTGGTTGATATTAAAGTGCATTTCACCCTCTTATTCGAGGGATCATTGAACTTCTCAACCAGCTTTTGTCTCTCTGACCCCTCTGTTCGTCCATCTAGCCTGTTTTGCAGAGATAGAAAGTGAAAAACATAAGCGAAATTCGAATTTCATTTGACGCCAAAAGGGCAAAATACATCAAAATGCAATGAAGTTTGCCTTGGTTCCTATTTGGTGTAACAAATAATTTTTTTTTTCTCAATATTTCAAATTTCCTACTTTTACCCCATTTTGACCGATACCTATTGATCTTACAACATTTGATAACATGGATGTCAAGTTTAACGTCTACTTCCCCACATCCCTTTCATAAGTTTTTCGTAAATGGGTATTCACGTCATTAAATGTTACATAATCATGTAAAAATGAATACAAAAAATAAGAAAATTTTGAAACATGCTCCGTCAATTGAGAAAAAATTCACAATATAAATAAGGTGGAAATACCATCTATGTTATATGCCTGTATCTAACGATACACACCTGTACCAGTCTTTTCCCTTTTTCCAACATTTCCTGCTTTTCCCTGTCCGGGTTAGTTTGGAAAGGTGGCGTTCAATGAGATCAAGTGTGGGTAAACTTTGGCTGAAAACCAGTGCCTTATCACCAGCATCATAACACAAGCTTAGAATTTCAAGCAGCAAAACCATTTTACCACTATTTTCAGCCTCATAACCGTTCTCTTGAAGAAGATCGTCCCACCAATTCTGCAAATATGTAAATGATAGCATCACAAACCAACAAGTATATATATATATAAGATATCAGTACTAAGGCGAAGGGATCGTGTGAGGAGAGTTAAGGTGAGAAGCGTAAGAAGGGATCTAGACCCTTGATCATCTTTAATATCAAACCCACCCATGAATCGCGCTTGATACGGGGATTGATCTGGTGCTTCTCATCCTACTGTGCATCCAAGGGTGAAAATCCCTTCTTACGCTTCTCACCTTAACTCTCCTTCTCACTGGAACCCAACCCTCAATACTAAATCTTCTATTAAAAACAAATGGTTATTTGAATTTAAAAATAAACTTGAGAAGTTCCATACCTCCTTGAAAAAGCCACTGACGTTCTTTCGAGATGATATGTCATTTCTGTTCCTCAACTTATCTGAAAGAAAAGAGCATGAAAATGAAATTTGATCAGACAGGAAAAAGAATTTGACGTTCATATTGTTATACTTTTTCGTTGGTTTTTTTGTCATTCTCATCTTCTCAACCGTTGTCATTCTCATTTAAACCTGCCTATCTATCTATATATACCTACATATATATATATATATATATATATATATTATAATATAATTTTATTTTATTTTATTTAATTCAAATAAAGAAAAATAAAATAAAAATATATTTTATATAAAAAGTTCCACAGCATTGGCCACATCAACAAAGAACATTGATTGTATGTTATGTCATTCACCAGGTCAGCATGCTTAAACCGGTTACCCAGGTACTTAAGTGTTTGACATGTCACATATCAGGTACCAAAATGAAGGGGGGGTTTTGGAAGTATGTTACCCAAATAGGAACAAGAACGAAATAGGTTACATTTTCATGGTGTGTCTTGCACTTTAACCCTGATGGAGACGCAAAAAATAAGTATCATTCCAACACAGGAATCAGTTTTTTACTAGTGTGGTTTACTGGTCCAGATCAAACATCGAGAAGATTTTACTTTTAAGACAGCTTTTTCATGGATAAACTAATCATACTAGTTAATATGCTTTTGACACTAGATCAAAAAAAGAAGCTTTACCTCTGTTGGCCATGGTATAGTCCAAGATATCATCACTAGAACTGTCTTCCACAAGAAAATTCTCACGTTTGCTGAAGTCTTTATCTTTCATTAATTGCAATATTCCAGGATGATTCCATATCTAGCAAGTGTAACCCATATTACAATTATTTCTTTTTTCACCAAAAAAAGAACATAAATACCATGTAGCAAAATAACATGTAGACAAAATAATAATAAAAATGACACCTAGTAAAGTAAGGTAATCATGTTGAAATGGGAACCAATGAAGAGTCCTTTAATTATTAACATTATTAAAACCAAAGTAGACACTTTGAGGACAATACAATGAACACAATACTAACATAAAGATTTCCACCTTGAGGACAAGGTGACTGTTTTGATAGAATGTACCAGCGCTAATTCAAAGGGGTGTAGGGTGATTTGTGAGACTTTGGAGGTAGTTACTATTATTTAGTTATCTTTTATTGTTATATTAATTAGTTGCCTTTTAAGATATCTTCTAGTATGCTATTTGAATTATGGCAGTTTTAGAATCGTAGGTATTTATAGGTGATTAAGGTTAAGGTTTTGGGGGGAGGAAAATATGAGTATAAGAGGCTTGGGAGGTCACCTACTTCTCAAAGTTAGGAACTATCGTGTGTTTTTCTTCACTATTAATAAGAATTTTTCCCCGATTGTTATCACATTCGCACATTGATTTTGGGTGACGGAAAGAGACACAAAGATAGATGGAGAGAGAGAGAGAGAGAGAGAGAGAGAGAAAGATAAGCATAAGCTTAAAACAAAACTCACTATTGCTGAAAGAAAAGTCTATTGCTCACGATTCAGTCAATAACAGCATGGATTAGCAGATACAATGATTGTAAGATAGTTCGATTCTGCAAAGATTCGTAGTACATGTTAATAGAAAGAGTACCTGAGCCAATGCCTGGTAACTGGCGAAAAAACTCTTCCTGGTCTTTTCATTAGAAGCCTTCTCGTTCGTGAGTCCATGTACATCAAGAAATCTTTTGTATAGTCTCCTTTGCATAGGAGAAAGCTTCACAGCAATTACAAAAACAGTTTTGGGGGGTAAATCCTTCTTCACGACATTCATATCCATTCGTTGGACAAATCCCTTCAATTGTTCATAGAGGATATGAGATCTCTGGTTCATGATTTTCACATCATCTGATGTAGAATTAGTGTGTTGGCCGTTCTCAATAGGATTTTGGAAGCTGTAAGATATGAAGAGCATGATCAGTCACACAAATGTACTGAAGTGAATAAACACAACTAAAGAGAGTTGAGAAAAACTTACCGGTTTCTGAACTCTTGACTGCTGCCGAGAAATCCTTCTCTCACAAAATCAACCATCTGTTGTGAATAAAAAAATATAAACTTTGTGTTCTAATATTTCAGAATGGAAAAATGGTGGTAGTTACTTACACAATAATACTCCATGAGGTTATTCTGAAGAGGCGACCCTGTCAATGCTATTCGTCGCTGGCATTTCACTTGCTTTAAGGCCTGAGTTGTATCAGCCCTTGTGTTCTTAATCATGTGGGCCTCATCACAAACAAGTATATCAGGTCCATCCTGACATTTTTTTTAAATAAGTGTCAAAGAACAAGCTAAATTGGCACAGAAAACAATGATATCTGATGAAGTAATAAGAACCTAATTTCTCAATTTGCGTACTTGAATTACTTCAGTGTGGCAAGGTATTTTAAATACCATGATCACATTTATAAGGAAGTTTTCATGCGGATCCAATAGATATATATATATATACACACACACATATCCAGGGACCATACAGATCTTCTCTATAATGTTTTCCTTGGGAGATAAATGCAGACCAAATAATCGTTGTCTATAAACAGTCTTCTGGACTTGAATGTTTATCATAGGCTTATATTTCCTTTACACATTATTTTAGGCTCTAAAACTTTTACCTTAACCAACAAAACAGGAAACAAAGATTAACCAATCTTAATAGCAATATACCTCATAATCCAATCATACTTGATAAAGGATCTTCATGTCCAATTATGGACATAGGATCCACTAGCAACTTGCAAAACCTAAATGTATAATTGATTTTTTACGTACCTGGTTTTCCATATTACCAGAAAACATAATCGTTCATAGCCTTCTTTCCAACACATTGTGTTTTTGAGAAATTTCAGGTGAAAAAGGTTGATTTTCATAGGTTTTGAGCGTCAGCGTTTCTATTGCTTGTCTACTTTGCAATCTCCAACATCACATTTATGTGATTCCGTTATCAGGGAGGCTCATAGGCCCCGTAGGCCACCTTTCTTTACCTGTTCTAAAGCAGCTAAGACTGGACTTTTTTATCTTTCCATGAGTTAGCTTGTGAGCAGTCAGTTATGGTTCTATCCCTCCAGAGAATCTAGTCAGGCGAGTACCTTTTTCCAAGTACGCACTCGGTTATAACTTATAAGAGGACCTTTTGCAATTACTTCTACAAGTGGATTTGAATATTTCATTACGTGTGTTAGTGGCTTTCTCATGCAACATGGATTTTCCTCCTTAAAGCATGTAATGAAATCTTTACATGCTTTCATGGCTTCTATGCTTGTATTAGAGGCTAGTTTAATGATTCAATTAAAATGCTCTGATGTATGTGACAATACGAAAAGAATATCTGTCATATGATATTGCATGTTTGTTCATTTAAATGTGATCTTATACATGAATCACCATGTGCATATACAATCCAACAAAATGGTACCATTAATGATTCACTATTGTGTATCACAGTGTTTTTGGGCTAATGCAATGATTACCGCTGATTAACCATAGGCCCGCTGCTTTTCTTGATATAAAGAAACCCTTCTCCATACGATTTTCAGAACGCACCCCATTTCTACTAATTTCTAAAAAGATATTTGGATGTGCTTGATATGTCTATGATCACGGTCAGGGACTATTAAACTTGAACATCATGCTATTAAGGGTGCATCCTTTGGTTGTCACGTGTTGATAACACTATTGTTTTTACAGCCCAACCCTTTGTAGATATTGTAGATATTTTACCTGCATTGTCGTTACATTTAATAAGTCGAGTCCCTTCTTTGTAAAGACCACTAGCATTTCTTTAAAGTCACCACACTCAATTCATGAATAAGCAAATACTCCGCTCTTTAGACCTTCCAGCACATGCACCAGAGGCTACCACGTATACTCAATTCACATATTTTATGTCACGTAGCACTATAGACAGTGACAGAGATCCAAAATACCCCACATATGCATCATGATTCTCATGTGTCCCCAGCATACATACTATCACATACCGACCCCGAAACACATATTGAGACGGTACTCGCTACACCTTTACTACCACCTACCAAGCTTTATACCCATGCTCATTGTACCCTAAGGTTGAAGGGATGTATCTCTCTCTCTATCTATCTATATATATATATATATCTGTGTGTGTGTATTAATTTAATAGAGATTGTTAATAAGAGTTGAGATCATGTGAGAACAAAAATTTTTGGTGAGAACGGAGAACACTTCCGAGCCTTCATCATCTTCACCTTCACGAACGTTCACGTTCACATGCATGAATCATGGTGATACAAGAAGGTAGATGAAAGTTTTTGAATGCAAGTGAATGAAGGTGATGAAGGTACCGTCCTAACCAAAAAATTTGTTCTTGCATGAGCCCAACCCTTATTAATAATTTATTACAATATGTACATATATATTACGTAATATAATTTTCTTGTTTAACTGTTTTAAATTTTCAAAATTATGATCATACATTTAAATCATTACTACCTACACAAAACAAGAATACATTTAAGCCTATATTAGCATTTGTTATTTTTAGTTACAGAGTATCATCCATTAAGTTTTTGTACATTTTTGTGGAGTCGAGAAGCGAAAAAAGTTTGTTCAAAGTGTGCACTAAGAACCAATTAAATGCTCTAGTCTACAATTGACTCTACAAAACCAAAATGCAAGCAAATAGCCTACAAAAATGAACATCACTGGTCTAAAAGGTACTAAAGCCAATGGTACCAGGTCCAATAGTGACCGGTCTAATAACCACAGCTTCTAGTAACTTAAAACTACATTAGACATTGGAAGTAGTGATACATAACGTATTTGTATGTCCACAAGAATTACCTGAAGAGTCCTGCAAAATTCCTTAGCCATGTGACGGTCCTTGACATGTTTTCCAAGAGACAAATTACGGAAATTAGTATAACCAATCAAGAAAACACCGCCTTTAGCTCTCCACTTCATTAACAACTCAAGTCGTCTATCCCTACAAATATCAGTTTAAGGAAGTCATACAGAGAAAAAATTAGCATTTTAAATAATTCCAGCGTGCATGTGTTCACAAAACGATCTCCATATTTAGTAAAAAGAGCATAAACCTTCCACAATGTATTTCCTACTGCTTTTCCAAATCTAGAAATGCGGCATGGACTCCTGTTGTCGAAAGGGATATGATGCATACCATTGCTAATCCTAATTCAATTATTACATGTGATGTCCAAAGATATCAAGAATATGACAAATCCATCAAAAAGGTGTTGAGGGGTATAAAAGCTAAAAAATAATGGAAGAGAGTAAAGCAGAGCAACTAATAATAACAGTAGCATTAATAAATAAACAAAGACTAAAGACACTAAAGTAAGAATATGAAAGGCATAAATAGTCGATCTCATTAATACACAGCTATGGATACGATATTAAAACCTTGGGACGTCTTCAAGCATGTAGACACGAATAGGCTTAAATTCTGTAGGTCTCCATTTTGTAAACTCATGCCTCCAGTTGTGCAAAACATTCACAGGTGTGACAATCATGGCAGCTTTTAATCCTATGTCCACACTTCTCATAGCAGCATACAGAAATGCTATAACCTGGGAAAACCATTAATTAGTTACTTCAACAAATCTTTACATATGGGTTATTAAAGAAACAAACTTTTACATACATATGGTCATTAAAAAACAAATCTTTAGCAAAATGAAGAAGAAAGGGTCGTTGTGAAATGGTTAATCTATAGGTTGATGATGGATACTCAATGTGATTTCACAGGTGAAACAAAGAATTCTACTCAATCCCAGAGAGAACAGCTCTGGGTTACTCAATCCACATAGAGAACAGCTCTGATGTCGTTGATTCAGTTCATGAAAATGGTTATTATACCAATAAATCTCCAAGGCATAGCCTTAAATACAATCAACGATAGAGCCTTCTAGACCACCTAACCCTCTCTCATAAGAACCAATACAAAAGAAACAGCTGGCAGTTGCTGGCTCAACACTTACAGGGAAAATATAACAAATCATTGTAAAAGCTACAAAGTAAAACTGTGTCGTATCAATACCCTCCTCATCGATTTATCCTTGACCTCAAGGATAATAGTGAGCCCACACGTCAACCCTGGAGATTGTTTCTTCAACTCATCCAAGCCTTCCCAATTGCGGTGACTGCAGTCTTCTGATTTCAAGTTGCTCCCATTCACCAATACTTCCAATTTTGGTCAAGGCCAATTTACCCTATTTCTTATCTTCTTAGGGTCTATCACAACCCCTACTCTACTGATCTTACAACCAAGGTAGTACACCCAAAATTTTCACTTCATATCTTTTTTTCTTGACCAAAACAACCGGAAGAGCCAAGCTCCATTTTGACCCTTTTTGTGTAATTTTTCCATCCCCACCTCCACTCTTATTCTCCAGGTCAACCTTTTGTCTCTTCACAAAAATTCCAAGGACAATGATCGAAGTTGCACTTAATACTCCCCAAGGTGGCCAACCATTGCATTCCCAGAAATCTCTTAGGTGGAAGTTCTTTAAGAAGAGCAAACACATTCTTGAAAGAATTAATAAACCCCTTTTATTCTTTCCTTTGTTTTACCAAGGAATTTTCCAAGTCATTTGACATTAGCACAAACGAGTGAACTGCGCTGCATACTTTTCGAATCGAAAGTTTAAATCCGTTAGCCATTGTCACTTCCTTTACTCTGAAGGAGGTTAACCATAGCCCGGGCTTCTTGGCTAGACCCACCTCAACAAAAAATGTAGTATTGCCACTATTAGTTAGCATCATCATAAACTGTTTCTTCATCAGCCCTCTAATCTGGATTGTTTGAAAAAACAAAGAACACAACACAACATGCATTGGAAGCAAAGCATCCCCCATTTTTTTCTGAATAATCATTCTCTTTACCATTCCTTTGTATCAGCACCTCCCCTTCTAGGTAATCATTCTGATTTTCTGGGCAAATCACCATGTACAACACATGGTTTAAAAAATTCTGATTATCTCCCCCTTTTTCTTCACACTCTCTCTTTGACAATTGTTGGGAAAGAAGAATCTTATTTTCCGTGTTTTGGTGTGTCAACCATTGAGATTTGACAAAAGGTTTATGGAACATTTAGTGCAGGAGTGCCATCTGATAGGGAAACTCGGCGGAACTGGTAGGATTCAGGAAAACCGAGGATAACAACTTAGGGGCTGGAAGAGAAGTAGGAGCAGAGGAATTTGATTGTTTCATCCATGAAACACTATCACTTGTTCCCTAGGTCAATTCATAACGATAATTATAAGTTTTGGGTGGTGCTACACCCCCTAAAGCATGATACTCCCGTTCTTGAAACCTTGCTAAGTTGATAGTCAGGTTTAACGTTTTTGGATCCAAAAGTTGGACAGTGAACAACTTCCTTTGGTCAATAGAGGAAACAACAGGGCTATAGAATAGAATTGAGGGGATAATGTTAGGTGCTGATAACGAAGTAAATGCAGGAAGATATGGTGAAGTAGTGTTGCGCTTTTGGTTATTGGGATGAAATGTGGTTTCCTTGACATAATAAGGAGGTTTTGTAGGTTTTGGAGGTTTTTGGCCCCAAAGGGCATAGTGGAACCCCTCCTATAACCTTGCCATTTTCATGACTGGGCTAAAAGATTTTGGATCAAGGAGTTGTATTGACACAGAATTCTCCAGGAAGCACTATCTTTCGAAGGCCACTTTATTAGTAAGGTTGTTTACCTCAATAAAGGCAAAAACGAGATTTTTTTTCATAGAATAACTCGGTCGTTGACTTTGCCCCTTCCGCTCCTCCATTTAACATGTACACATAATCTCATTAAGGAGACTCCAAACATATAGATCAATCAGCATGTTAGACGAACTAGCTAATTGATTGCACAGAAAATTGAATCGGGGAGTGGACTCACTTACTGATGCAGTTAGATGGAGGTTATGGAATTTGATTAAAGGCTTAGGGGCTGTTTGTTTGGCTCTTAATGGTGACATTAAGAGCCAACCTCTTAATCGGTAAGAGGTAAGGAGTGTTTGGCAAAAAAAATCAAGCCTCTTAATGGTTACATAACCCTCTTAACCATTTTGCATCCAATGGTTCACTCAACCATTCAAACTTCTATTTTTCCAAGATTACCCTTCCCACCCCTTCTTCCCAACCCTCTCTTCACGCACGTCGCTCCGTCTCCGGTAGCCGGTAGCCTCCACCATCTCCGTCCCCGTCTCCGGTAGCCTCCACCATCTCCGTCCCCGTCTCCGGCAACCTCCACCATCTCCSTCCCCGTCTCCGGTAGTGACCGGAAAATAGCCTGTGACTCTCGCCGATGACCGAAAAATAGCCTGTGAGACTCTCGCCTGTGAGACTCTCGCCGGTTGTCGCTCGATCGGTGATGGTCAATGGTATCTTCGATTGTGAGACTCCACAGCTTCTACAGCTTCTACAGCTTCCGTCTCCGGGGTAACCTCCACCATCTCCGTCCCCGTCTTCGGTTGTCGCTCGATCGGTGATAGCCTGTGAGACTCCACAGCTTCCATCGCCGGCGACCTTCCACAGCTTCGATTTTGGTCGCCAGTCCCTTAACAGTAGCACAGCTTCGATTAGGTTTTCTTCCATTAGGTTTTCTTTCTTCAATTTTTAGTCGTTAGGTAAACCATAATGAAACTGGATGATCACTAAAAAAACAAAGAGGTTAAAATGGTAATTTGCTTTTATTCAGAAAACAGTTACCAAACAACATTATTTCATTCAGCACTTAACCATTCTGACCATCTTAACCATTCTGACCACTTAGCCATTCTGCACCAAACCATTCAGCAATTGCCAAACAGCCCCTTAGACACCGCACTTTCTACAAATTTCTCTTGGAGTTCCTTCAGGTATGTTTCCCAGGTAACAGTTTTTCCTTCCATCTCCTTCATAAACCCTTGGTGCCATTGAAGTGCTTTCTCTTTCAGATGTATAGCCACCAGTCTTATCTTCATCTCCTCTGGGGTGTTATTAAACTCAAAAAACTGATTGCACTTGTATTGCCAATCCTTAAAGTTATCTCCATCGAACATAGGAAACTCAAGTTTGGTAACCCTATTTACCAATCGATAACCAGAGTTACGTTTTCTTACAACCGAGATCTCTCCTTCTTCTTCGGCCTCCTCGTAGCGTTCATTGTAAGTGTGCCTCTCAGGGACGACCAATGTTTCTCGTCTAGGGCCTATGGTCTCCTGATGATCTGACTTCTCTTCCCCATAAATGATTACATACGAGTTAACCTCATTGGTTTTCCGATTCAGATTTTCTTCTTGAGCCCCAACCAGGAGCTTCACCGCCCTCAATAAATCAGACGTGCCCTCCTGCATCCGTTTGAGGAATTCAACGCAACTATCACTCTTTTGACCTAATTCATTGTATCTCTCCATTGGTCAGGGGAACGATTGCTTTGATACCACTGATAGATGCTCAATGTGATTTCACAGGTGAATCAAAGAATTCTACTCAATACTACAGAGAACAGCTCTGGGTTACTCAATCCACACAGAGAATAGGTGTCGTCGATTCAATTCATGAAAATGGTAATCGACACCAATACCTCCCCAAGGCATAGCCTTAAATACAATGAACAATAGAACCTTCTAGACCACCGAACCCTCTCTCATAAGAACCAATACAAAAAAGACAGCTGGCAGTTGCTGGCTCAACACTTATAAGAAATACATAACAAATTATTGTAAAAAGCTATAAAAGTAAAACTGTGTCGTATCAGTTGATGACATACAGCAAATGTATAATTTTTGTACCATAAACACAGAAATGAACATTTGTTTGAATTTATGAATACTTTATATCCAGATAACCACATTTTAAGCATTAATGATATAAAAGCCTATATATTTCTCTATGGACTTCTTTCCCTAAAAAATCTCATGCTTTCAGTTGATGCCATACAGCAAATGTATAATTTTTGTACCATAAACACAGAAATGAAACCTTTGTTTGAATTTATGAATACTTTATATCCAGATAACCACATTTTAAGCATTAATGATATGAAAGCCTATATATTTCTCTATGGACTTCTTCCCTAAAAAATCTCATGCTTTCTTATCTGCAATATATATGACAAGGATATACCCATTTTCTAAAAGTCTCCTGCTTCCCTATAGTCTGCTTTTAAAATGTTGGAGAGAGTAACTGTTAAGTCTACATAATGGTACCTTCCGATCTTAGTATTTAAAAAATTCATCACAAGGAGACCAAGAAAATGGAAGCTGCTAAAAGCTCGTAGGTACTAAGTAATCCAGTTGTCCATAATTTTTGAATTAACTAGTTGGATATCTATCAGGGATTAATTTTTTTTTTCTTTTGCATTGGATTTCAAATGTCATTTTCATAATTACAGCACAAAAACATAATAAATACACAAGTAACAAATTTAACAGGGAAATTAAAAAAGAAAAGCATTACCACAAAATAACAGAATATGTAGTGGTTTCAAATGACTCTTATCATAGTACCTGCAATGTTTTACCTAACCCCATAGTATGCGCAAGAATGCAACCAAGTCCCTTATCCCCAGACTTCACTTTCGGGATTGATTGTATAATATTTTCCCACATGAACCTTATACCTGCAACCTGCAGTAACAAGTAAATTGAGAAACAGAAAGCCACAACTATTATACAACTACAAGTACTCCGTGTAGTTTGCAGCAGGATGTAATATTTTATCGTAAAAAGAGAATGAAAAATTAATGCAACTTCTCGTTGGAAATTTATGTTTAAACAAAATATAAAATAGAAATGATGGTTGAACATGTCTTGCTAATTTGAAGATCCGATGAAAAAAGGGGGGAAATATATCAATATGGATGTCAAATTAAAGAATATAAACTTCTTGTTTTTTGTACAATTTGTTATCATAATTCATATATTTTAGATTCAAAAATAAATATGTTATTTATTTTTATTTTTATTATGAAGCTTTTCTGGATAAAAAATAATGATAGAGAATATTATCCTGTATCTGAATGTGTTTATCAATTAGTTATTAGCTAGTTAGTTCTATAGAGTTTAAATTGCTTTAACAACTTGTAGGAATGAAATAATTACATGGACCCTTGAATTTTAAGAAATATTCATTAATCAACAATAGTGAATGCTTAATAGGGTTGTTTTTAAGACTTTGAGCAAAATGTTTTTTATTATATTATAGATAAAGGATGAACAAATACGAATAGTATTTACCACACACAACTTTTATGGTTGAGTTCATATAACTCTTAAAACCAAATCCCCATAATTAACCTCATACAGATATCATGTTTTACACAATCCTACACATTAAATAGAATATGCATAACTTGTTAAAGCTCTCAATCACAACAAATTATTTGCATGCACCACCAAGTGGCATTATACCAAAGGGCCTTCGGCCTAGCAGTATGCAGGCTTTTGGCCTCCGAGGAGATCAGGAGTTCAAACCTCACCAAACGGTGAGGAGGGTGTGAGCTTATTTGTTGCATTTGTAGTATATAACTACTATATACTTTAAAAAGAACAAGTGGCATTATCACCATAATATTTGGGCAGGGCAAGGAATTAGCAGGCTAAAACAAAAGCTGGCAATTGAAAATAGTTTAATATAAGCATATCACGAGAAATAACCAATTATTGCTAATTCTAACTATTAAGAGAACTTGAGGACAAGATCAGGTTAAAATTTAAAAAAACAGCATTATTGGGAGAGTGTGACAACCCAGTTTTCATGAGACCATGAAACCAACTGTGAAAGTTTGGATGCACACTGTGAAGGTTTTGAGTGTGATTCTCATGAGGATTTGGCGTATTTTTTCATATGAATATTTGATATATTTTTCATGTTTTTCACTAGAAGATTCGGTTTTTTCATGTGAAGGTTTGCGGTTTTGTTGTGAAGGTTTGCTGTGTTGCAGCAAAGGTTTGGTGTCTTTTGCTGTCAATATCCGGTCTGTTATTTGCTATGAAGGTTTGACACGATTTCAAGAAAACTCGTCCAAGGCCTTAGATGTGGTCTCACGGGTCTCACAAAAACTAAGTGGTCTCACAAAATTCCAAATCACAGCATTAAATTAGCTAGCCAAACAAAAAAAGCATATAACCTGATGAGATTTCAATTTGATTGAGATGCTTGGGGGAACCCTCACAGCCTCCTCCTTTTCCTCCCTAACGACATTTACAATATAACCAGTTTGTGCATCACCTAACATGTCAACGGTAGCCCCTTCAGATACGGTTGCCCTAAAATTTGCATAATCCGTCTTCATTGATTTTAGTGACTTCAGACGCTCAGCTTCCAGCGACTTAAGACGCTCTTGACGTTCCTACCATGAAGTAAAATAACAAATGAAATGACTACCAAACACAAGATGTGCATGAGAGATCAACAGAAAAAATATAAAAGATACCTTTTCGATTGCAATTTTTCTTTTAGTATCTTCTCCTAATTCAGCATCATCAAGGATTCTACGGATCTTCTTCTTTCGTCTCCTTTTGCTGATGTTACACAAGAATGGATATTAAAAGTTCAATCTGACAAAGAACCTACGTAACATACTTAATACTTGAAAAGAAGCTAAGCATACCTAATGTGAACACGGATATTTTCATCTGACTCACTTGAATCATCAGAGTCATCCGAATCGCTTTCTGAACTTGAAGATTCACTTCTAGATATAAATGCTTTTTCTAACTGTGAAGTCAACGGCTGTAGGATACTCGGGGAGCAGCAACAGCATTGCCAACCAGAATCCTGTGCTTTTAAAAAAAAATCTTCGCCAAGATTCCTCTTTATACATGAAGTACAGAACAAGGTTTTGCATGCCCTACAACTTATTAAATCCTTGCTTTTTCCACACCATCCACAGAAACCCTCGGAACAATCCGGATCCTATCATATTAATCTGATTCAGTACAAGATAAAAGTTGTGTATTCCTAAAAAAACCACCAATCATATGGAAGATCATAACTACAAATGCATACCGTTTCTTTCAATTTTTCTTCTAATAGATATTTGCAGTTTCTGCAAACAATTACTTTCAAGAGTGGATGTGTATACACTTCATTAGCAACCTTGTCACAAGCGGTGCAATGAAATTCATCGTTCGGGTCATTAGTATCAACCGTGGCATCCCCGTTTCCTTGCTGATCAGATGGATCAAGTGTTTCACTCGCGCTGCACGGAGAAGTACATCCGTCCGCTGCAACAAGTTCGACATCAGCACTGTCAGTATTCATAGCCCTGAGCTTTTTGCTATCAGATAGTTCAACACTGTCAGATGGCCGTTTGGACCCAGAAAGCACTGCACAAGGACCATTACTCTTTTGATTTCGCAATTCAAGATCACTCGATGACTTGTGTTCGGTATTTGATGTTTGATATTCAATATCATCACTGATGTCATTTTCCTCGGCTTCCCTGATACCCTCCTGATCATATTTCAGAAAGGAAGAAATGAACATAGAGGTGGATAACCAAACTCGTTGAAATTTCAACATGATAAATGAACTTTTGTTTAATAATATGTAAAATTTAGAAGCTAAGAAAATATTCCGCCATGTATAAAGCAAAAAAGCACAGAAAGTGTGGGAAGAAAACACACCTGCTTTAACTTCTTTCTCTGTCTCTTTTGGTTCAAACGGAATAGAAGCTTACGGTCGATATTTACATCATCTTCTTCTTTAACCTGCCGATGGCAACAGCTTTTAGCCAGGCCAAGTATGTAATAATTTATAGAAACTTAAAACAGCCATTTCAAAACTAACAATCTAAGAAATAATTCCCTTTCTAACATTCGTCCCTAGGTGCTTCTCAAGATACTTGAATGAACTTTTAGTCTTTCCCCTTTTCATTGCAAAAGTATACTTAAGTTTGAAATCCTATTTTATAAAAAGAATTCAACAGAAAAAAAATAGCTTTCAAGAAGCACCTACACATGTGACAGTCAAATTCTACAACTATTACTGAATGGAGGCAGTATTACTTGCAATAAGCAGTTGATTTCAGAGTTAGGTTCTTTCAAAAAATACCAGCATATATCACACAAAAAGATAGAAATACAGTAGATATATCAAATTTAACAAACTCAGAATCATAAGAGACTAAAACTAGCAAAAAGATAGGACCCAACCAATACCATTGCACATCACATTAGAGCATCCACAATGGAGGTTCTTACGCGAACGTCCTTTTGCTACCTTTTAATGCCACATGATCGCCACCTCAATAAAGTTTCACAATGGGAGGTTCTTATAAGAACCGCATCTTTCCATTTTTTTTCTATAAATAATAAATTATATAACTTTATTTGTTTATTTATTTACAGAAAATTATATAACTATAATGTATACATATATAATAAAATTATTAAAACAAAATTCAAAATATAATATAATAAATAATACAAATATTTAAAACATAAACATAATTTTATGCTAACATTAAAATTTGCAACATTACATAGATATTAATCTTAATACTAACCAACTAACAAAACAATATTAAATATATATCACTCTTAATCGCGGTTCGATCAATTATGTTCAACCAAGTCTGCACGAAATTGATGATGAAGTTCATTTGGACATGGTGTTTCTATAAGCAATTTGACATATTTTTTCAAAGCTACAAATAAATTTACAATTATTAATTTACAACTTTCATATTAAATTTAATTTATAGATTTAAAAGTAGTTGACAAGTAATCCAAACATAAACATAACAAAACGAGATGAGTATATACTTTATATATTTATGGATGATTATTCATTACTTATAACTTAAAAGAAAAACTACAAGAAACAACAAATGAAACAAAAGTATTGATTTATATCTTTACATCATTTTTAATTTATATTGTTTGTAAATATGTTCTATATATTTTTTCGAACAATAAACTAATAATTAAAAAATAAATAATAGAAGTACAAAAACCGAGGCAAGATCTTGGGTTCTTGTTCAAGCATCTTGGTTTTTACAAAAACCTGCGACTAGGCACCGCCCCAGAGTGAGGTTCACCTAAACAAGAACCTCCGGTATGGATGCTCTAGCATTCAAATTTCCCTGAAGAAATACTCTCATGGTCCGTAGAATGATAATTTTAATATAAGCACAATGTATTAAGGAAAGCCTCTATTCCATATAAAGGCAATGAAACCATCCGGTGATTATGACATCTGGATGGTCATATGAAGAAAAATCAAGAAGATGATAACAACTAATATCTATATCTTGCATACCTTTCTGAAATTCTTCTTATGATCTTCAGAAAGATATAGTTCTCTCTCAGTCACTATAGCATCAGCAACAAATGGGTCGTTCAAGCTGCCTTCAATATCATCAATCTCCTCAACCTGAACATGGTATAAAGAGAATGATGACAAATAAACACAAATGTCTGGGTGGATCAAAAAATACCAACAGGATTTGGATGATCAGATCAAATGCATAGTGGATGCCTACAATAGAAGTACCAAATGATGATCCCCCCTAAGTACAAAATTCGCATGACAGCTGTCGCAAGTGTCTTCTACTTGTAAAGTACAAATACTCTATGAGAGATATGCCAACCACCCACTACCAACAAAAATGTGTTTTGACGTATGGTATAAAACCAAGGCAAGGAAAAAGGCGATCAATATTGTATAATATTAGATAATTAGATTTTGCTTTCTAGTAATTATAGTATAGTTTCCTAATATAGGTTACCTTCTATATATTAACAATTGTAATTTATTCTCAACCAAATGCATGATATAATGTCTTGAATCAGCTTTACATGGTATTAGTCATTTTCCCGTGACAAGAACCCTAGCCGCCACCCGACACCAGTTGAACGGCCTTAAACAACCTGACACCATCTTGCAGCTGTTCATGCATGTAGCTGTCGCCTGGAGCCGCTGCCACCTGAAGCCCTCACTGCCGCTGTCCGCCTGAAATCCAGCTGCTGCTGTCTGTCCAAAACCCTGCTGCCATTGTCGGAGTCATCAGCGACCAGCCGCACATCACAACCACTGCTGATTTTACTACTTGTTTTTCTTTGCCTTTCTGCTGGTGCATTAGGGAAAGGATAGCAAAACAAAACTCACACCTTTCACTCTTTACGGCTCTCTCATCTTTTACAAATTTGTCTCACAACTCTCTCCTCTTTCACAACTTACTCTCATGGTTTTCTCCTGTCTCACGACTCTCTTCTCTCACCGCTTTCTCCTCATAAATTAATTTTATTTTTTTAAGACTTGTAACTAGTAACTTATATGACTTTCATAGTTTGATATGGAATTATGTGTAGTTTGTAATGAATTTTATGATACGTTATGCATTTTTTTTGTTTTTTTTTGTTGAGGCATACACCATGGTCCACCTCAAGACATACACGCCTTGTGGTACTAAGAAAAAAACGCCTCACCTCACGTTTTCGTCTTTTAAAACCTTGCCAGCTATGCCACTTCTTTGCATGTAATAGAAACTCCTTCTTTCGGTTAATTCACTCTAATGTATGGAGACATTGCCGTGTTATTTCTACTAGTGGTTTTAAATTTTTTATTATGGTTGTTGTTGATTTTTCACATGCAACATGAGTTCTTGATCAAGTAATGTAATCAACTTTTTCCATCTTTTGTAATTTCTATGCTTATGTCAAAACCCAATTTAATGTTTCTTTTAGAACCTTCGATCCGGTAATGCAAAAGAACATTTTTCTTTTGGTTTACAAGATCATTTGATAAACATGGTATTATACATTAATCATTGTATGCCTATACACCCCAATAGAACGGCATTACTAGGAAAAAAAACTGTCATTTGTTAGATGTGACAAACACTATGATGATTGACTATAATGTACCACAAGTTTTGGGCAGATGTAGTTCTTATAGCTAATTATCTGATTAAATGCATGACATCTTCTATCTTTAAAAGAGAAGACACCTTTCTGCAAAAAAAAATCAAAAGGCACTTCTTTACCTCTAGCTCCTAATACATATGAATGTATATCTTATGTTCATGACCATCACCCGTCCTTGGGCATTTACATGTCAAAAAATTTTATTGTTGTTATAGTCTATCCCTTCGTAGATATTTTACCTACGTTAATGTCACCTTTGTTAAACCTACCAACAATTACAGTTCCTAACCCTTTTGAATCATTTGATACCCCAGTCTTAAGTATCCCAGTAACGGCACCAAAGGCTACTATTCTAACAGTACTGACCAATAATCGGTTCACAAAAGTGTATGTTTGATAGCATTAAAGACAAGTGTCTGATACTTAGAGTCCTTACTTTACACCATGATTCTAGAAAATCTTTTGTTCAACCACCTGATACACCTATCAAGCCCTGTAACCCACTAGTGCATCTTTCCTTGATATCCCAATTGTCATCCAAGAAGGCACAAAGCCTTGTACCAGAAGAGCCTACTCTCACCTAAGAGCATTGATACCTATCTAAAACTTAAGAGTGCTTACTTTTGCATCATGATTCTAGCAAGTCTCTAGTTCCACCACCCGATACACCTACCAAGACTTATGACCCACTAGGGTACCTCTCCTCGATAACCCAACTGTCATCCAAAAAAGCACAAAAGCCTGGTACCCGAAGAGCCTACTCACACTTAAACGTCATGTGCCTACACAACCATTGATACCTATATTTTTCCTAAAAACGTAACTGAGGCCCTTCATCAACATGAATGGTTTAAGAAAATGCAAAAGGATATGATGCCTACAAAAGAATCATACATAGGATTTGGAACAACTTCCTCATGGGAAGCAAAAAAAATGGGTTGTAAATAAAATATTCACAATAAAACTTAATCCTAACAATTCATTACACCAACTTAAGTGTGGTTAGTTGCAAAGGGTCATTCCAAGTCTATGGAGTTGAATACGCAAGACTCTCTCTATAGTGTCCAAGATGCCATTTGTTCACATTTGTATAGCCTTGAATTCCATTCATGGTCAGCCACTCCACAGTTGGATGTTAAGAACACCTTTCTTAATGGCATACTTGAGGAGGAGTGTACATAGAACAGACGAGTGGGTTTGTTATTGAGGAGGAAGCCTCGAGGTATGCCAATGGCAACATTCATTATATGGTCTAAATCCTTCCCCTAGAGCATGGTTTAGGAGATTTTCAGATGTTCTCCAAAAAGTTTGGTATGGTAGTTCACAATATCCTTTTGTGTTCTTTAGACACCATCAGGATCATCAAATCATACTAGTGGACTATGTAGATGACATTATTCTCAGCGAGAGATGGTAGTATTGATATTCCAAAGTTGGACAATTTCTACAAACTCCGTTTCAAGTTATGGATTTTGGATATATCTTCCTTACTTCCTTGGGATATCTGAAGTCTGACAAATAAAATATGTTCATGATATGCTCACCAAGTCTGTCATACTGCAGGGGATAGTCTTATGCTCACTAAACAACAACTACTTCCTATTGATGGAAATCCCATGGAAAAAACAGATTGATGCAAAAAAGAGCAGAAAATTAAACTATAGGACAATTTTTCCGCCCGATATATAATCCCTAGTTAGGGTCTTAAGTTGGTTCATAGTTGTTCCTTACACAGGTAACTGGGATGCAACATTTTGCATTTTGAACTACCTAAACACCACACCAGGCCTAGAAATACTCAATTCACATTAGAGCCACAGTCGATTGGGTGCATCCACTAAAAGATATATGGATGGATTCTGGCATGCAAGTGTGATCATCATAGCCACAGAGGAAATCAAGTTTCTTGGGTAAACAAGAACAACATATTTCTCCCTATCAAGTCTCGAGACATAGTACATAGCTATGGTAAAAGCGTCATGTGAAATGATGTGGGTAGGAACGAGGGCGGTATAAGGAAAATCACCTAGGCTTATCCGCATAAATTAAACAAAAAATAAATGTTTAAAAATATTATATGGATAGCAACCTTAGTTCGCTCCACCAAGTCAATGTTTGTTTTTGTTTTTGTTAAATATTATCCATAGCTTAAGTCCTAAAATATTTCAACAAAATAGTTTAAGTCCTAAACAATTACATCAAAATAGTTTAAGTCCTAAATTGTTTGTCTTATGCAATTTTAGCATAATAGTTCAAGTACTAAACAATTTCAACAAAAGTTTAAGTCCTAAACAATTTCAACATAAATAGTTTAAGTTCTAAACTATTTCAACAAATAGTTTAGGTCCTAAATATCACAACTCCAATAGAAATTTAACAATTTCAAAAGAAGTTATGAGTTCTAAACCCTAAAAAGTTAAAAATTGACTTAGCGAGCTTAATCGAGGGTGTGATTCACAAGCAAAACTTTCAAGAGCATGAGTGAGGCGAGTTCATGAGTGAGGAGTCGTGAGGCGAGTGCGTGAGTTTGGAGTCGTGAGATGAGTGCATGAGTAAGGAGTCGTGAAGCGAGAAATCGAGAGTTCTAGTTTGTAGTGTGAGCCAAGAGTGGGTATTTGGTAACACAATGATACACTCTCAGATGAAAATAAAATGAAATTGATATTGCAACTCAATGATTAATGGTTTCCAGCAATTCAAGAAACTGGGGTCTCCCTAGGCCTACGCTAAAACCAGTGTTTACAAATCAGACACACTCTCCAATGCCCCTCACACCTTTAACAGATTACTCCTGCTACTTTTCCTTTTTTACCCCTTGTAACAGAATAATAACAATTCTATGGCTGGTCCAGTATTTTGATGCTTGTAATAGAATACTAACAATTCTGTAGCTCAGCTGTCTGGCTGAACCACTACGTTGGATGCTTGAAGGAAGTGATTGGCATGGGGCTACAAGAGGGAGAATTCTAACAATTTTATTAAGCATGGAACGACCTCATTGCAATTGAGCTGGGCAAGATTTAGCTTCTGACACAATGTAGTTCAGTTCTATACTGTCAGAGAGGAAGAAATGTACTCGCAAACAAGTCCTTACAACTTTTCATATTAGTCCAGCCACCAAAAAGTCAACCAGCACCCATTTTGTCCCACTCTAACACGATGGTTAACTAATTGTAACCCACTTCAGTGCTTTCCCACCTCAAATTGATCAATGGAAATTTCTAGGATTACTCAGAGTCATTTGCCCTCCAGCAGCAAACTTGCAACATCCTCTTGCAAGATAAAGATATAAAAAAGCAGCCGAATGGTAAAAAATTGAAGAGTCAAAAAACAAAGACAAACAATGGTGAAGAAAAAAAGAAATGAAGCACACGTAAATCACTGCCTCACGGCGGAAAACAAGAAAGCTAAACCAAGAACTGCAAGTATTTTACCTCATCTACACCAGGAAAGTTGAGTCCCAATTCCGCAGCTTGTTGCGGTGTACTGGCCAAGTATACAGAAGCCCAGCTTTTGCTTCCAAAAGAAGTATTATTTGTTGATGAAGAGCACAATTCGTTGAAAGACGACCAATCTACATCACGATTGGTTTCTTTGTCATCTTCAGGAACAAGACGTTTCCCAAGAAACCCACTAGCACCTTCCTCCAAAAGTTTACCATGATGTCTGCCAATTCATTTTGACCGACATAAAACTCAAAATTAGTGAAATATGCTAATTTTATGGGATAAACATCAGCTTAAAAGCCTGTAGAGCTCCTATAGTAAGTGAAATAAATAAGCTACCTTCTGACAGGCCTGTGAGTTTGCAGATACTTCTCAGCATCTGCAATTGACTCAGTAGCATCACCAGTAACCTGCGATCCAACCCAGTGTGTCCTATTTTTCCATGCTTCTGTACAGCATCCATTTGGGGCCTGGCTCTCTATCCACTTATAAAGGCTTGGGAGTTCAATTCCTGCACCATCAAGTTGCTCCTGCAAAACACATTAATGTCAATCATCAGTAACACATTTCTTCTATATTAGCTGCCTTATATATGAAGGAAGCATATTCCCAATATATATAAAAAATATAGTAAACCCCCAGATAAAATTTGCAGTCAAATGAGCACCACCACAAGCCCAACTATAAATATGACATGTAAACTAACTATAAGTATGGTGGAAAGTTATTGGTAGCCCACTTCTACATTCATAATCACAACCATGTTTAATGGGATGTTGCACAATGCCTAGCTGCTAGTGAAAATTTACATATTTTCTGAAAATGGTACTTTTGAGCATGCACCAATATAAAAGACATACATATATTGGCGTAGAAAGCACCAACACTTCTATGAAGTCCTCCGCAGAAAAGGGTACAAAAATGCAACAGAGCTAGGATATGTGTCCAACAAAGCGGACAAACACTGGAGATGTTTATAGATTCTGCAGCTAATGACACATCAAAGTGTAATTTGTAACCTTTTGGGAAGCAGATTAAACAGAAAAGAAAGAAGTTTGTGGGAAATTGAAAAAAGAGGGATGAAACATGACTTTGACTTCAATCTTCTATATTTCTTCCATTGTAATCAAACATGAAGCAGAGAAGGCGCAAGACCACATAATTTTTTTTTTCATGAGATCGGGCCCTACATTCAGTAGACGTTAGTCTTCCATTCTTGAATCTTCACTTTTTCTTCTGTGTAGTTACACCATCTCATGGTAAGCCTGTATTGAAGTATGTACTAGAAGTCTAGAACTCCAGAATTATTTACACGAAACCCTTTAGTCTTCCATTCTTGAATCTTCACTTTTTCTTCTATGTCATGTCTAAAATCTTTTGCTTAGACCATACATGGATGAAATGCAATTCAGTCCTTGTTGACCAACTCTTTTAGGTAACTGGATAGCAAATGGAGCAATAATTTCATGTGCAGGAATGTAAGTAAAAGAGGTGAAAGTCATTGACCACTTATCCATTGTGCATATAATTTTGACTAGGGTCGAAACCTAAGCATTTGATATAAACATAATAAACACAAACTTTAACCTAGCAATGCCTTCTATCCTTTAAAATTTTAATTACTAAAATAAGAATCAAGAGATTGACACAAGATTGAAGGATCAGACCAACAAGTGAGCACTCTCTGTTTCAAGGTCATCAAGCTCGTCTTCCCATTTATCTCTGAGAGCTAACATTTCCTCAGCAACGGCACTCTCAAGCTATCCAAAAAGAAACAATGGTTAGTCGTACGCAAAAGTACCACAAGTCTGCAATTAAAGAGATAAGCAAGCACAAAGGACAGAAAACTAACAGCTTCACCCTCAAGAGATTGTGCTAACTCTTCCCGCACTTCAACTTCCACTTTCGCTAGTGACTCATCTTCAAGAGCTTCTTGGGCCTCTGCCGCCTAGTTTGCAGCAGTAAAATGAAATGAAAAAAGAAGAGGAAAATCCAACCTGAAAAAGTTTCTAAACAAGCAAATATAAATAAATACCTTACTCTCAACTGTCAAAAGCTCAGCAATTAGCCCTTCAATGTCTTCATCTGTAAGATGTGGCTGCAAAAGGACAAAAATAAATAAATAAAAACTAAAATTTGAAGCTCATAACACTTGTAATGGATAATCTGATATGCATCTGTATATATCTAAGCATGTTCACTAATCAAGTACAGAATCTTACTTCCTCCGCCACAAAATAAATGTTCACAATGAAAAAGGCAAAGAAATTTAGAATGTTTACTCATTGTACTTTTTAATTAACTAAATGACGATTTTACCTTAATGATAAGGGATTAAAGAACTTCTCATCTCATAATTAAGAATAGAATTGGAAAATAGATATTGAAAGTGGACACTTATTTTCGGACAAACTAGAATAGAAATGTGGACACTTGTTTTGGGACTGAAGAAGTATGTATTTTCAGTAAATGAGTGCAAATTAGCATCGCCTTGCCTCGAGATGCATCGCATCATCTTGACCAGATGTTGAGGGTTCATCGTTGTCACTGTCATTGATGAAAGAGTCACTTGATGTACTGCCAAGATCTTCTTCCTCTTCGCATTTATCTGCCGCCATCAATGATGTAAAAGGTATACAGTTATTTTTTAACCTGCAATTTTACCTAAAGCCATAAGAAAACAAAGCTATGAGATTATAATAAATCAGATCCTCAAAACATGCAAAACAAGGTCAATCATAAAACAGGAAAATCATGTCATCCATGATCATGATTCATGCATGATGTAAAACTGAAAGCAAATTGAGTGTGTGATGATGGATGAACCTAGCCAGAACAGCTTGCAATCACACACACGGACACGCATCAAATCATAAATAACATGTATTGTGAGTCTCTAAATTGAGTTTTTATCTTTGTCCTTTGGCAGCCACCCATCACTGATGAAGACATTGAAGGGTAGGCTAACTGCTGAGTTCTTGAAAGGTCATGATTGCATTCGTCCAAAGATACTTCACTTAAATACTAGAATCCTATTGAATAGGAGACAGCTAGATACTTTCCTGATGTACTAAACCTCCAAAGATATTTAACCTAAATACTACAACCTGATCCACTATTATTCCCAATAACACGAATGAATTTCTTAATAGTTCATTTTGATATCATAACATTTATTCCAAATATTGATTACTTGAAACTGAAATCTCTATCAGACTTAATGGGCCTGGATTTCATCAAACCTAAAAGGGTTTAAGAAAATACTGATTGCTGATTAATTAAATTGGCTGAAAAAACGACTTTTGCATCATTTCAGTGAATGCCATCCTCGTGCTCCTCGTGCCTCGCACCTCAAAGACCGAGCCACGTGCCCCATCAAAGATCACGAGCCACTAAAGTTGTTCCTTTGATGTGCTTCTATTAGTGTGGCACGTGTGGCAGGCTACAAGGAGAGTTACACCAATCTAAATTGACTTAGGAACCAAACCTTTTCGCACACATGAGAAAGTAACATACATACTGCATATAATAAATGAGCCCAAAAGTAGACCATGGGCACCAACAAGAACATCATGTGACGAAAGATTCATCAAGATTATTTGGCAACTTATTTAAATCAAAACTCCATCTGCTCCACCATTAAGGCCCACGTTCCCAGATTTGCTGCGAGCAATAAACTTGACTACATTGTGTGATAAGATTAAATGGAGCTTCGTTTGTGGCAAAGCTTTTTCTACATAACGGACACTAATTGTGCAACGCAAGGAGTAACACCATATTAGACAGTTAGATATTTGTGGTAACACCAAAATCTGAGCATATCTCGCTGATGATATCAACAACCTTCTCTCCATTGATAAAAAAGACACGTCACATGAAATGTTGTACCCTTAATACAATGTAGTCAATCAACCACAAACGAATCAACATAAGTTTCTAATCAAGGGCGTACCCATATCATAAAACTTAAAACCCACAAGTTAATCAAGTCGAAAGTTGAAAACAAACAGTTCAAACGAAAAAAAAATACCTAAAAAGAAGTAACCATTGGTTTAAGCTCCTCCAGTATTCCTGTTCAAGCATACGTCGTCATTTCGAAGCATAAACAACTCAATTGCAGGGCTACAATTAAGTACTTCTATAGTTGAGCAATAAGAACACCAACTCCGATCTTCAAGTTTGTATGTCTCAACTGTAGCAAAACAGTAGCAAGCAAATAAGTCTGTTTCGATTTCCCCCTTGTGTGCTTATTCGATTTTACAATATGGAGGGAGGGATGGAGGGTTTTTCGTTTCGCTTTCCCCCTTTTCTCCTCCCCTTTTATCAAATCGCGCAAATCGGCGAGATTTACATATCTTTGAAGAAATTACATAAGCCATCCTTCAACTATTTTTAATATACAGATTTCGTCTTCTAAAACCAAGATTGATTAGGAGCTGGCAACTATCCACAGTACAACACGTGTCATAATCATCGGTTACATGAATGTTGTAACATATTAATCATGGTTTATGAATGTGTGATTAATGATGAATAATGTGTCAAGTCATATCTATATTTATCATGAATATGTTATTCATTATGAATAGCATTACATATTTGTCATAAATGTGTTATTCATGATGAATATTCATTTGGAAAGAGGGACATATGGTGCACTACGAGCGGTTCTCGGTTCCTAATCAATTAAGAACTTCCAATTTTTTTTATTAATCTGGATATCTAACCCGCTAAGCGAGACGATAGAACGACCACATGCTTTGCGGGTTGCCCGGAGTCACCATATTTGAACCTCTGTGGCCACAAGGGGATTTTTATTCCTCCTTGGATTTAAACCTGAGAGTCTGAGACCTCCAGACACTTTGACCTTTGGAGCTCAAGCTCAAACCAATCAGGCACCACCCTTATGGTTGAACTTCCCTTTACACCCCTTGTCTAAAAGTAAATATAGAAAATAGTATATCAAAATATATGTCATGTTTACATGTCCGTTAGATGAAGTTTTTCGATAATACGAATCTTCTTTAAACTGTTGTTTTTAAAGTAATAATCATACATGGAAATTGTTTCAATCGTATTCAAAAATTCCACCTGTGCACCAGAATATAGCTGGAATTTGTCACATATCACGTCCAAGTTGCTCCTTTATCCGCTTTTAATCAACATTACACAGTCCGTTTTTTAAGAATCAAAGACTTGAATTTGGCAGTAGACGTTATGCAACAATTGATTTATTTGATATATAATTTAATTAGTATTGGTATAGAATCTTGATTGTTGTGGGTGATATGCTTTAAGGCCAAGTTTCTTGTTGTAGTGCGTTACTTTCTATTTTATTGTCCTGTAGTTACACATATATATCTTTGAGACGTATGGTACATAATTCATAACATTTTGATGGTTAGAGATCTTTTGTTTATTTATATCAGTAAATCAACAATTTTATATCAGAAATCCCTGAAGTTGGGAACTACACTACAAGAAAACATGTCAACAACAACGAGCAAAATCCATAGTACAAGTAACAAAAATACATCAACAGACAGAAGCATCACATATGAATGGTCGATATTAATTTTCTTCAACAAAATATTGAAACAGATTGGTGATTACCGAAGGAATTGTCATTGCCAAATCGAAACAGTGTTGTGGAAAATTATGTATCTAATAATATCATGATCTTATTAGCAATTTTACATCTATTAGCATTTTTAACGATTTACCAACAATCCTATAATAAAAAGTTGTTTGCCATTATATTCTACGATTTTTGTTTAAACCCTTTTCATTGCTGATTTCATTGGCATGCCGATTACGGTTTTACGTGAAGGCTTTGAGAACGTAGTAGAGCCTTCGGTAAATTAAACATTCAGACTTTTAAGTCTACATTGTAAGAAGATTAAGTACATGAATAATTTTGATTTAATCTGGATCTAAATTTTACATCGTCAATCTCTTTATTGGAAACATGTGTATGTTATTGTGTTTGTGACTTCCATAAACACATATGAGCTTTAAAGTGAAGTTCATGATAAGTTATCAAAGTTTGGGGGGTCGATATTGTAAATTATGCCAAAAAGATGACATAATGAAGCTTTCGATTAGAGCTTATCATTTGCGGGCTTGGGCCAGATTCGGGCCGGACTTAATCTATTTTTTTGTCTAACGGGCCTAATACGGTAAAACCATACCCCTTTTTACGGGCTTGAAAACTTACTCATACTCGCCTTATAAACGGGTCGGGCTTGCCCATGGGCTAACGGGCTTAAATATATTTTTATGAAAACAAAACTTATATAAAATCACAAATTATGTAAAATAATTTAAAATACATAACAGTTTTTCCAATTTAAAATTTGACGTAAATACATAACAATATACATACTTTAGAAATAAATCGTATCGCTAAATATGAATTGGCGATAAAGAAAGCAAGTAAATGATATAATAAGAAATTGATCAATTGAGGTAATTATATTTTCAAGGGCAAAATGCGCAAAATAGCAACCTACTTTCACAAATTTCCTTATTATAGCATTCTACTTTCAGTTTTTTTTATTAGGGCATTGTACTTTCAAAATATTTTTTATTAGGGCATTGTACTTTCAAAAATTTACCCATTATAGCATTGGGTAACCTGTTACCTTTTAAACAGGTTTTTCTTTGTTGACATGTCAAATTTAAAATGACATGGAAACCATGTAGGATAACCTGTTACACATAGATATCCTACGTGTCATTTAAAAGAAAATTTTAATTTAAAAACAATATTTGAAAATGAAAAACGCTCGATTCCTCTCATTGTTTCAGACTGTTCGTTCTCATCATCCCTCTTCATGATGACTATTCATTCACCCTCTTCCTCCTGATCAAATCGCACACATTTCCTTTTGACCTAATCGACCCTCACCCTCTTCCTCCTGATCAAATCTAAACCCTAATCGACTCACTTTCATCGACTCACTCTCATCGACTTCCTTCCTCATCGTGCATCCTGTTCCAACAGGTAAGTTCATTTTATCTTTATCGATATTTTACAGCAATGTATATGTACATTTCCTGTCTTTCTTTATTGACTTCCTCATATGCGCATAATGTATGATATTGCGTTAATAAGAAAGAGAAGGGGTTACCTTTCAAAATCTTGAATTGGGATTGGAATTGTTTGTTCTATTACAACTGATGCGTTTCAAAGACAAAGAGTCATTGCAATAAAACAGAGGTTATGCTGAATACAAGAAAAGTTAGACTAAAACAGCAAAGTTAGACTAAAAGCAGTAAAGTTAGACTAAAACAGTGACAAAACCTATCAAAACTATATGCTGGTTCCATTTAGCAAAGTTAGACTGCTCTTTTTCTGCTTCCAACCAGCAGCTACGGTTGCTGTTTCTGCCTCTAACCAACAGCAGTCTCGACTGTTTCTGCTGCTTCTACCAGTTACTTTTTTCTTCTTCAAAGCATGCAGTCTCGGCTTTTCTGCTTCCAACCAGCAGCTACCGGCTGCTGTTTTCTGCCTCTAACCAAAGACAAAGAGTCATCACCTATAAGGAAAACACAATGTAAGACTAGATTAACCAACCAGAAAGACGTGCCACTAAAATGCATTTCTCATGCTTAATTGAGTAAAAAGTTAATACCAACCCTTATCTATGTTTCTTCCTTTCACTTGTTTTGTTTCCATCCAACTTACATAGTTAACGGTTTGGATTTGACATTAAATATCATACCATTAAGTATCCATTCAACTATTTATTTTTCTTTCTAGTTGTTTCTCAAGCAGATTGGTATTTTAAATGGCAGCACACTTTACCTAAATTAAGTTCAACCCAACAGCTTCACTATGCAAAGAAGTGCTTAATATGTAGTAAATAGCAGTGTCCATCAGACAAGTACAAAAACATGATATTTGAGTGAATAGATTTATTGTGTGCAAGATCAGTTTCTATCCATCTAGGGGATCATTGTTTGGAAACATCTAACAAGGAGATTTACTATAAGATACAGAACCTGTATATAAAACAAGGGGTTCAAGTTAAAGTTATGCACGAAGGAAAAAAGGAAGCGATACAGAACAAGAAAAACTTACGGGTTCCAGTTACTGTAAGACAGTATGAGAATGTCAAACATGTGATCTTTGTATCCATATAGCATGTTATTCTTTCATACTCCCTACAAATTAATTGAACCTTTTGGGGTTTTCACCTTTTCAATCAATGTTTACATCCTCCAGTGATTTTTTCACCATCTAATAGTAAATCTACAACACACTTCGTTTTGTTAAATTTCTTCTAACAATCATATCCAATGYTATAAGTCAATGTGGCATGAGGTGAGTTTTTCATCAAATGATAATGCTTTTATATGATCAATGACAAAAATGTATTTTAATTCTAATTAGTAATATATTGATAATATATGTGATGGTTTACATCCCACGAAGATAATAGATTCTTATGTTTCAATTTTGAGTAAAGGGGTATTTATCTTTAGACGGAGGGAGTAGATATTATGCTTCTTTCCTCGAGGCTGCCAAGTGGCTTGGAATTGCTAGACCACTGGCTGGAAGAACTACTATCTCCAGAGAAGCAAGCTAGGAGGAATTACTCTATAGCAAACCCCATGTAGTGGACTTAGGAAAACGTTTCTTAAACTAGAGTAAAAGATTTCTCAATGATGATATGCACTAGATTATGTGCAGTTTCCCCATGAAACTTCCCTACTATCTATTGCTTTTATTAAGAAGCAATGTAGTCTGAATTCAAATGCAGAAGAGATGAACCTCAAAACATGCATGGTATTACAACTTCATTGACTTTCTTATATGACAACACCACATATTCAGTGTCGAGTAATAATAAGCCACTTTAAAAATTAATACCGGCTGCTGTTTTCTGCCTCTAACCAAAGACAAAGAGTCATTGCTTATTGAGAGTTTATGTAAAATAATCCTGTTTCGTAGCTTGTGTCTTGGGAGCAAAAGAGAATCAACTCTTCTACCATATAAGAATCAGCAGCTCACTCTAACTACACTTTTTAGTTATCAATGAATAATACTAGGGACTCACCTTGAATGGTAGATGCAGTTGCATAAGCAGGAGGATTCAGAAGTAGATCTATAATATAGCTGTTACCAAAATACGAATAACAATATATATAAGCAAATAAATTTAATGAAAAATGTAAGCAATAAACATGACAGAATGCTTTCTACAACTTACAGTGTCCTTTACATAGGTTTCTAAGTATTGATACAAATTATGGTTTCAAGATGGTTTGTATAATAATAAATTACTATGAATAT